CCTGGTTTCTGATCTTCCCCGTCAGTTTCGCCATCTCCGCCTACTCCATCAGTTTCGTCGGCCATTCTTCCTTTGTTGGTGCTTCTCCTTCATTCCATCTCTGGGCTAGAAGCATTCTTGCTCCCATCGTTGCATATATAAAAAGTCTTTTATTCTCTCTTGGGATCTCTTCACCTATTATACCTAACAAAAAAAGCTTCTGGTTTTTCAACAAATGTATTTTTAAACATTTTCTTTAATTCATTATATATCATTTCCCAGAAAGCCTTTGCTTTGCTTTTCCAACACAGATTTGAACTCCTTTTGTACATTTTTGCAATTTTACTCAGTGTTAGAAACCAGCAAAACATCATTTTCATATAGTTTTCTTTCAATGAACAGCATGCAGTAGATTTCATTTCCTCTTTCCATAACTTTTCCCAAGACGAAAGTTGGATATTATACACCAAATCTCCAGCCCAGGGTATCATCACTGCCTTGACTTCTTCGTCTTTTGTATACCATTCCAAAAGTAATTTGTACATTTTTGATAGCACTTTCACATTATTTTCCCAACAGATCTATTTGAAACCTCGATCTCACTCTTCTTTTATCTACCTTAAAAACATAATTTAATTGGGGATACTGTAACCAATCTGTTAACACTCCACTTTGTTGTTGTTTAGTCGTTTAGTCGTGTCCGCCTCTTCGTGACCCCCTGGACCAGAGCACGCCAGGCACTCCTGTCTTCCACTGCCTCCTGCAGTTTGGTCAAACTCATGCTGGTAGCTTCGAGAACACTGTCCCAGCCATCTCGTCCTCTGTCGTCCCCTTCTCCTTGCGCCCTCCATCTTTCCCAACATCAGGGTCTTTTCCAGGGAGTCTTCTCTTCTCATGAGGTGGCCAAAGTCTTGGAGCCTCAGCTTCACGATCTGTCCTTCCAGTGAGCACTCAGGGCTGATTTCCTTCAGAATGGAGAGGTTTGATCTTCTTGCAGTCCATGGGACTCTCAAGAGTCTCCTCCAGCACCAGAATTCAAAAGCACCAATTCTTCGGCAATCAGCCTTCTTTATAGTCCAGCTCTCACTTCCTTACATCACTACTGGGAAAAGCATAGCTTTAACTATACAGCCCTTTGTCGGCAAGGTGGTGTCTCTGCTTTTTAAGATGCTGTCTAGGTTTGTCAACCGTTCCTCATACGCCAGTGTGGTGTAGTGGTTAAGAGCGGTGGACTCGTAATCTGGTGAACCGGGTTCGATTCCCTGCTCCTCCACATGCAGCTGCTGGGTGACCTTGGGCCAGTCACACTTCTCTGAAGTCTCTCAGCCCCACTCACCTCACAGAGTGTTTGTTGTGGGGGAGGAAGGGAAAGGAGAATGTTAGCTGCTTTGAGACTCCTTAGGGTAGTGATAAAGCGGGATATCAAATCCAAAAATCCCTCCAGACCCTTGATCATCTCAGTCACCCTCCTCTGCCCACCTTCCAGCTTGTCAACATCCTTCTTACATTGTGGTGCCCAGAATTGGACACCATATTCCCAATGTGGCCTGACCAAGGAAGAACAGAGTGGTGCTATGACTTCCCTTGAAAGTCCCCCATCTCTCCTCTGTTGAACTGCTCTTACTGTCAGAAAGTTCTTCCTGAGGTTTCGTCAGACCCTCCTTTCTTTCATCTATTAGTTCGGATCCTACCCTCTGTTGCAGAAAGAAACAAGCTTGCTCCATCTTCCATGAGACAGCCCTTTAGCTATGTGAAGATGCCTATCTTATCACCTCTCAGCCAAGTTAAACATCCCCAACTCCCTCATGTTCCAGCGCTGCAGGTTTAAAGCACAGCTTGTGCTGATTAAATCCACAAGCATCACTACCCAATCTAGTCCAGCTGATAAGCTATTTTCTGCCCCCAAAGCTGGCAGTCTGTTGAAATCTGCATCCTGGGTGTGGTTGGCACAAAATTCCCATGCACAGAGAACCCAAGTAGGGAGCAGTGGGTCTTAACTTTCTGGAACGGTTTGCGAAGCTTCTGCAAGTGTTAACAGAATGAATGAATCTTTGTTTGCGTCAGCCATCGGCCATAGCAATAGAACAACAGTACGATATACTGTACGAAGAATAGAAATAAAAAGTCAATTATCTAAAATACATTTTAGGGTTTCGAATCAATAGTTGAATAGTGGATCTTATTCTGATTGCCCCAGCTAAAAACCTTGCCACCTTTACTGTCACCTGCTCATCTTGATCTGCCAAGAGAAAGGACACTGGGGCAGGGGCTGGGCGACCCGGAATGGACGATAAAAGAGAGGTGATAATCTCATTCCTCAAGTCTTTATAAAGAGGGCAAGGCAGAAGGGCATGCGCCACCGATTCGGTACTGCCATCTCCACAGGGACATAAGCATTTTGTGTGTGGAATCTGTTGGAATCGTCCCTCAAGTTCAGCCGAGGGCAAGACATTCAATCTTGCAAGAGTAAAAGCGTGTCTATATTTTAGAATTGCTAGGTTATGCAGATAGGGTGCGAGAGAGTCGAAATGGGAAGGTGGAAAATAGTCATACCACAGGCAAAACCTCCTTATTGTGGCCCAGTTGTTCTGACACTTGATATCATTTAGGCATTGACAAATTAGACTGTTCGCTTTACTAAAACACAAAGTGAATAGCTGTTGTGGTGATAAACCACAAGAGTGAAGTTTTTGATAGACAGTTTTAGTCCAGGCACTCTTGTGACAATTTTGCAGCACTAGGGATATTAAACCGGGGGGATTTGAGTTTAGGCGAAGCCTAAGTGGAGTGTGATCACTGCAGATGGTGACAGCAGTCACGAAATTAAAAGACGCCTGCTCCTTGGGAGAAAGGCGATGGCAAACCTAGACAGCATCTTAAAAAGCAGAAATATCACCATGCCAACAAAGGTCCGTATAGTTAAAGCTATGGTTTTCCCAGTAGTGATGTATGGAAGTGAGAGCTGGACCATAAAGAAGGCTGATGGCCAAAGAATTGATGCTTTTGAATTCTGGTGCTGGAGGAGACTCTTGAGAGTCCCATGGACTGCAAGAAGATCAAACCTCTCCATTCTGAAGGAAATCAGCCCCGAGTGCTCACTGGAAGGACAGATCCTGAAGCTGAGACTCCAAGACTTTGGCCACCTCATGAGAAGAGAAGACTCCCTGGAAAAACCCTGATGTTGGGAAAGATGGAGGGCGCAAGGAGAAGGGGACGACAGAGGACGAGATGGTTGGATAGTGTTCTCGAAGCTACCGGCATGAGTTTGACCAAACCGCTGGAGGCAGTGGAAGACAGGAGTGCCTGGTGTGCTCTGGTCCAGGGGGTCACGAAGAGGCGGACACGACTAAACGACTAAACAACAACAACAAAAGTTCTGTTAATGGCTATGTCCTATATTTGTTTGGCAGGAGTGGACGTGCCGGAGGCAAGGCTTGTGTGAGACAATAGAGCATGTCCAGGCATTTCCCCGGTACTCCTTTTGGTGTAGGCTGTTGGGCCATGACCTTGAGGCATCAGCCTTCATTTGGGCAGGGTGCCACAATATTTGAATGGCTTTCTTAATAAACTTTAGTTCCCTTGATTGATTGTGTGGTTACTGGGTAGATGGCAGTGTGGGGGCTGCTTACACTGAGTATGTCAGAACTACAACAGTTTTAGATTTACACATACAGTGGTACCTCGGGTTACATACGCTTCAGGTTACATATGCTTCAGGTTACAGACTCTGCTAACCCAGAAATAGTACTTCAGGTTAAGAACTTTGCTTCAGGATAAGAACAGAAATCGGGCTCTGGCGGTGCGGCGGCAGCAGGAGGCCCCATTAGCTAAAGTGGTGCTTCAGGTTAAGAACAGTTTCAGGTTAAAAACGGACCTCCGGAACGAATTAAGTACTTAACCTGAGGTACCAATGTACACAGTTCTTTCTTTGGTTACATTCACTTTGCAGCATATTTAAATAGGGTATCTCTTAGACCATGGGTAGGCAAACTAAGGCCCGGGGGCCGGATCCGGCCCAATCGCCTTCTCAATCCTGCCCGCGGACGGTCCAGGAATCAGTGTGTTTTGACATGAGTAGAATGTGCCCTTTTATTTAAAATGCATCTCTGGGTTATTTGTGGGGCATAGGAATTCGTTCATTATTTCCCCCCCAAAAAATATAGTCCGGCCCCCCACAAGGTCTGAGGAACAGTGGACCGGCCCCCTGCTGAAAAAGTTTGCTGACCCCTGTCTTAGACATTCGCAGAATATACATTTTACAGGATTATGTCAACTTGGAATTCGCGTATGGTTCAGTTAGTCTTTGGGTATACACTTTATTAAGATCAGATTCAAGACTGCGACAAAGACAAAGAGACCCCCGCTTCAATTCCATTTATATTACCTGACAATGGTCACCGATCGCACTACCTGGGCAGCTTGGGCATTCCTTTGTGATGGTAAATACTTTAATTCCTGAGTCCAGGTCACAGGCTCACCTGATTCATACATAAATACGCCCTTAAGACAGGTAAGCAAAAGACTATGATTTCCCATTTCCTTCCTCCTTGCAGAGAAATATTTGAGGTCACTGGGAGAGTCAAAATGGCTTCAGGGTTGTTCTCCTGTACGATTTCAGACACGTGGTTTATATACTTATGTATGTGTTTGCCTTGCACATTTATGACCATGGGGTTGCTGCATTCATCTCACTGTCAGGCCGAGGGAGCCAGCGTTTGTCCGCAGACAGTTTTCCAGGTCATGTGGCCAGCAGGACTAAACCGCTTCTGACACAACGGGACACAATGACGGAAACCGGAGTGCACGGAAACGCCGTTTACCTTCCCGCTAGAGCGGTACCTATTTACCGTATTTTTCGCTCTATAGGGTGCACTTTTTCCCCTCCAAAAATTAAGGGGAAATGTGTGTGCGTCCTACGGAGCGAATGCAGGCTCCTTGGCTTCAGCAATAGCAACGCGAAGCCTCTGAAGCGCAAAGGGAGCGCTCTCTCCGCACTCCGGAGGCGTTGCATTGCTGCCTGAAGCCTTTGGAGCGCAGTGGGAACTCGCGCTGTGCTCCGAAGGCTTTGGGTTCCTTTTTCTGAAGCCGGGAGAGCAAGACTCTCCTGGCTTCAGTCAAAGGAACCCAAAGCCTTTGGAGCACAGTGCGAGGTCCTGCTCCATTCCAGAGGCTTCAGCCACGCGCCTGCCTGGAGGCCGGAGGAGGAACAGAAGGGTCTCCTTCTGTTCCTTCTCCAGCTTCGCTTGAAGGGGCGCTGCGCAGTTCTCCCTCTCTGCGCAGCGCCCCTTCAGTGACGCGCCTGTCCTGGCTTTTGCCTTAGCCGCGCGCAGCCTCTTCGGGCAGGGGGAGCCTTCATCCTGCTTCCCTGAAGAGGCTTGGTGCGTTTATCCCAGAAGCCAGAAGAGCCACACAGTATCCCAGAAGCCAGATCCCTCTTGCTGTTCTGGCTTCTGGAATTCAAAATATTTTTTTTTCTTGTTTTCCTCCCCCCCAAACTAGGTGCGTCCTATCAGCTGGTGCATCCTATAGAGCAAAAAATACAGTATCTACTTGCACTGGTGTGTTTTTGAATTGCTAGGTTGGCAGGAGCTGGGACGGAGCAATGGGAGCTCACTCCATCATGGGGATTCGAACCGCCGACCTTCTGATCAGCAAGCCCAAGAGGCTCTGTGGTTTAGACCACAGCGCCACCCGCAACCCTAGTTGGTCAAGGGAGCTGTGGACTCAGAAAGGTTGGAAACCTCTGTCCTAAGGGAAAGCAAGACATTCCAGGACCAAATCAGAAATCTGGACGGCTTCTATAAATCCAGGACTCTCCCTGGAAAATAGGGACACTTGGATACACAGGTAGCCACTTGCGGGCCACTTCATAATCTAAATTTCAAAGACAGCAGAGGGAGACCCAAGATGAGGTCCTCGTTTTCTCCCACTCTTTCTCTCTCACACACATCTGCAAATACCTGAGATTCCTTTGCACACGTTCTCCCTTCAATGCAAAAGCTATGCTTTCTTGATCACCACCTTGTGGCCATCCGAGGTACAGCGACACCTATGGATGCATCCGTTTTTTGAAATCTTTATTTACAGTGGTACCTCGGGTTACATACGCTTCAGGTTACATACGCTTCAGGTTACAGACTCCGCTAACCCAGAAATAGTACCTCGGGTTAAGAACTTTGCTTCAGGATGAGAACAGAAATCGTGCTCTGGCGGCGTGGCGACAACCGGAGGCCCCATTAGCTAAAGTGGTGCTTCAGGTTAAGAACAGTTTCAGGTTAAGTACGGACCTCTGGAGCAAATTAAGTACTTAACCTGAGGTACCACTGTATTTGGAGCATTCCCTCCCCCCCCCCCCGTGTGAATCACGAAACAAGGAGATCCAAACCCAGCCGCAAGAACAAAGCCAGAATATCAAAACTGGGTGTGTGCAGGTATATCTGAAAACTGATATGCACACAAACGAAAATTTCTCAAACTGCACCATTGCATCATGTGGAAATGTCAGCACAGGTTTTTAAACCGCGGGTGGCACTGTGGTCTAAACCACAGAGCCTAGGGCTTGCCAATTAGAAGGTCGGCGATTCGAATCCCCGCGACGGGGTGAGCTCCCATTGCTCGGTCCCTGCTCCTGCCCACCTAGCAGTTCGAAAGCACGTCAAAGCGCAAGTAGATAAATAGGTACCGCTCCAGCGGGAAGGTAAACGGCGTTTCCGTGCGCTGCTCTGGTTTGCCAGAAGCGGCTTAGTCCTGCTGGCCACATGACCGGAAGCTGTATGCCAGCTCCCTCGGCCAATAAAGCGAGATGAGTGCCGCAACCCCAGAGTCGGCCGCGACTGGACCTAATGGTCAGGGGTCCCTTTACCTTTACCTTACACACAGGGGTGGTGGGAAATGAGAGAGAGAGAGAGAGAGAGAGAGAGCAGAAGAATCTTTATTTGCATCAGCCACTAGACATAGCAATAAAATAAAACAAAATGTCCTGAAGATAGAGGTAAAAACTTAACCATAGGAAATACATTTGGGGGGGGGTTACATCAATAATCAAATAATAGATCTTATTCTAACGGCCCCCGCTAAAAACCTTACAGTTTTTGCTGTCACCTGATCACCTTGATCTGCTAAAGAAAGGACACGGTAGCAATGATCAAGCGACCCAATATGGAGAATAACAGAGGGGTAATAACCTCACTCCTCAAATCTTTATAAAGAGTGCAAGCCAGAACCACACGAGACCCTGACTCAATACTGCCATCTCCACGGGGACATAACCATTTTTCCAGTGGGATTTTTTGAAATCAACCCTCAAGTACACAAAAAATAAACGCGATAAGTAAGTAAGATATTAAATCGTTATAACAAAAGGGGGGGAAACCGCTAGGTAAAATCGCATCGAAAAGTTTTCTGCTCTGCAGCGCCATCTGGTGTTGAATGTTTATAATGCATTCAAAACGCTTTTGTTGTTTTTTAGTAATGTAGCCGAGTCCCTAGTCCTTCCAAGGAGGCTTTGCTGTGACGTCGGAAGACATTAAGCAACAATGGAAGAACGAAATCTGTATCAAGCCGTCAGTCTCCTTTGCGTGGTGCCTTTGAAGCCAGGTGGGCCTGGAGGGGTCAAGGATACACCTGTGTGTGTGGAAGGGACAGTCCACCTGGGCAGGCAAAGGCTCCTAAGGCTGCTTCTGCCTCTCCTTTCCTTACTGGGGTAACAGCTGCTTCCAGTCGCTCTCTGCTTCTCCCAGGCTGAAGGCAGCCAACTGGGAGGCTGTTACCTCTGGACTTATGGCTCCTAGTAGATAGATAATTTATTACAGTCAGGGACCAGTTTATAAAATACACTTGAGGGTATGTATGTTTGTACACTTGGCTTCTAGTATGTTTCCGAGCACAATTCAAATGTCAGTGCTGACCTTTAAAGCCCTAAACGGGCTGGGTGAGGTATAAATAGTAAAATAATAATAATAATAATGGAATAGGTAAAGGTAAAGGGACCCGTGACCGTTAGGTCCAGTCGTGGCCGACTCTGGGGTTGCGGCGCTCATCTCACTTTACTGGCCGAGGGAGCCAGCATACAGCTTCTGGGTCATGTGGCCAGCAGGACTAAGCCGCTTCTGGCGAACCAGAGCAGCGCACGGAAACACCGTTTACCTTCCCGCCGGAGCAGTACCTATTTATCTACTTGCACTTTGACGTGCTTTCAAACTGCTAGGTTGGCAGGAGCAGGGACCGAGCAACAGGAGCTCACCCCGTCATTGTGGGGATTCGAACCGCCGACCTTCTGATCGGCAAGTCCTAGGCTCTGTGGTTTAACCCACAGCGCCACCCGTGTCCCATATAATGGAATAGGGTGTCCCTATTTTCATCGGACAAATGTTGGAGGGTATGTCATTGCACGAGGCTGTCTCCACAGGAGAGAAAGCAGCAGGGGCCCCTCCATCGGCCTTGCGGAAAGCTCCCCCCAGCTGATCATTACAGAAACAGCTCTTAAAAGAACTGGCGCCCCAGTTTGGGTTTTTCCTCTTCCCTCCCCCTCCCTTTCGCCTTGTGTGCCGTGGTTTGTGCGTTCCGAAGCCTGCAAGTTGGGGCTGTCCTGTTTCAATTGCCTGTACAGTTGTACCTCTGGTTACGTACTTAATCTGTTCCGGAGGTCTGTTCTTAACCTGAAACTGTTCTTAACCTGAAGCACCACTTTAGCTATTGGGGCCTCCCGCTGCCGCTGCCGTGCGATTTCTGTTCTCATCCTGAAGCAAAGTTCTTAACCTGAAGCACTATTTCTGGGTTAGCGGAGTCTGTAACCTGAAGCGTATGTAACCTGAAGCGTATGTAACCTGAGGAACCACTGTACGTGAGCTGATAATGTTGTCATCTAGCATTAGACTGGCAGGCTGTGCTCCGGTTAGTGAATGACTTAAAAAAAGGAGGCTGTTGGGAAGAGTCGACTGGTCGGCTGATCCCCAAATTGCACAGGGGTGTAAACTGCATGGGGATATCGCCAGAAACAGCTCCCAGAGCCCATGAAGTTTATGAACTTTCCCTCCCCTCCCCTGCCACACTCGCAAACAGAGTGTTATGTACGGTGCTGAATCCTAGAACAATAGGATCCAGAATGCAGCGGTCTGATTGGTCCGCAGGAGCCACCCAATCCAGCTCCAGGTGGAAGTGAATCAGTGACGTGATTGGCCTGCAGGAGCAGCCAATCAGGCTTCTGGAGACCGTGAATCCGCAACCTGATTGGCCTGCAGGAGGAGCCAATCAGGCTTCTGGATGAAGTGAATCATCAACCTGATTGGCCTGCAGGAACAGCCAATCAGGCTTCTGGAGGACGTGAATCCGCAACCTGATTGGCCTGCAGGAGCAGCCAATCAGGCTTCTGGATGAAGTGAATCATCAACCTGATTGGCCTGCAGGAACAGCCAATCAGGCTTCTGGATGAAGTGAATCATCAACCTGATTGGCCTGCAGGAACAGCCAATCAGGCTTCTGGATGAAGTGAATCATCAACCTGATTGGCCTGCAGGAACAGCCAATCAGGCTTCTGGAGGAGGTGAATCCGCAACCTGAATTTTGTAAATAATGCATATATAGCTAGACGTTTTGGGGGAAAGTTTCATTCATTGCTACTATGAGCTGAATAAAGAGCATGAAATTCACACTCGACTCCGAGTATATATCACAGAGCAAGCAGCTTTGCCTTTCTAGACAACGCCACCCTTCCCAAGTGAAACATCAGATGTTCCTTTAATCTGTAGTGATGAAATGCTTTGAGAGATTGGTACTTCAATATCTTAGGTCATGCTTTCCACCGGACTTTGATAAACATCAGTTCGCCTATAGAAGAAACAGGTCAACAGATGATGCCATTGCTACAGCCTTTCACCTTGCAGCGAGTCATCTGGAGAGACCAGGGAATTAATATTAATAATAATTTATTATTTATACCCCGCCCATCTGGCTGGGTTTCCCCAGCCACTCTGGGCGGCTTCCAACCGAATATTAAAAACAATACAGCGTCAGACATTAAAAACTTCCCTAAGCAGAGCTGCCTTCAGTTGTCTTTTAAAAGTAAAATAGTTCTTTATTGCCTTGACATCTGATGGGAGGGTGTTCCACAGGGCGGGCGCCACTACTGAGAAGGCCCTCTGCCTGGTTTCCTGTAACCTTGCAGCAAGGAAACTGCCAGAGCTCTGTGTCCTCTGTGTCCGGGCTGGATGATGGGGGTGGAGACGCTCCTTCAGGTATACAGGACTGAGGTCGTTTAGGGCTTGAAAGGTCACCACCAACACTTTGAATTGTGCTCAGAAACGTACTGGGAGCCAATGTAGGTCTTTCAGGACCGGTGTTATATGGTCTCAGCGGCCGCTCCGTCACCAGTCTAGCTGCTGCATTCTGAATTAATTACAGTTTCCGAGTCACCTTCAAAGGTAGCCCCATGTAGAGCACATGGCAGTAGCCGTTTACCTCCCCACTGCAGTGGTACCTATTTATCTACTTGCGCCGGTGTGCTTTCGAACTGCTAGGTTGGCAGGAGCTGGGACAGAGCAACGGGAGCTCACCCCGTCGTGGGGATTCAAACCACCGACCTTCCGATCGGCAAGCCCAAGAGGCTCAGTGGTTTAGACCACAGTGCCACCCGCGTACCACTGATGTTTTGCAAAGCACCCAGGATTGCCTTTCTGGTGGATTTCAGAATGCAGGGGTGCTTCAAAGAGCTCCCTGCTTCCAATTCCACAAAACAGATTCCAGCAACATTGCTGTTTCTTTCGTGTTGCTGCCTCCTGAAGGATAGGAGCTTAATTTCGGAGACTGTGGCTTCTATTGACCTCCTTGATTCCTTGACTCTCTGCCTGGTTGTTCAAACAGCACCATGAGCTGTGCAGTTGTGTAACTCACCGCATGCCAGCAGAGGTCCCCAAAGCGTTACTAAGAAGAACTGGATCAGTCTGGCATCCTTTCTTACAGCGGCCACATGGATGCCCCTGAGAAACCCATGATCAGGATTCGAACGCAAGACCACTCTCCCCTCCTGCGCATTCCAGCGACTGGTATACAGTGGTACCTTGGGTTAAGTACTTAATTCATTCCGGAGGTCCGTACTTAACCTGAAACTGTTCTTAACCTGAAGCACCATTTTAGCTAATGGGGCCTCCTGCTGCAGCTGCATGAATTCTGTTCTCATTCTGAAGCAAAGTTCTTAACCCGAAGCAGTATTTCTGGGTTAGCGGAGTGTGTAACCTGAAGCGGATGTAACCCAAGGTACCACTGTATAACTCTGGGGTTGCGGCGCTCATCTCGCTTTACAGGCCGAGGGAGCCGGCGTTTGTCTGCAGGCAGTTTTTCCGGGTATGTGGCCAGCAGGACTAAGCTACTTCTGGCAAAACCAGAGCAGTGCACGGAAATGCCGTTTACCTTCCCGCCGGAGTGGTACCTATTTATCTGCTTGCACTGGTGTGCTTTTGAACAGCTAGGTTGGCAGGAGCAGGGACCGAGCAACGGGAGCTCACCCCGTTGCAGGGATTCGAACCGCCGACCTTCCGATCGGCAAGCCCAAGAGGCTCAGTGGTTTAGACCACAGTGCCACCCGTGTCCCTTTACACTTCAAATAAAAATCAAATAAAAATTATTTCAAAAAGGAAAGAAAAATATTTGGTATGTAATGACCACAGTACAGTGGTACCTCAGGTTACATATGCTTCAGGTTACATACGCCTCAGGTTACACATTCCGCTAACCCAGAAATAGTGCTTCAGGTTAAGAACTTTGCTTCAGGATGAGAACAGAAATCGTGCTCTGGCGGTGCAGCGGCAGCAGGAGGCCCCATTAGCTAAAGTGGTGCTTCAGGTTAAGAACAGTTTGTATGTAACCTGAAGCGTATGTAACCCGAGGTACCACTGTATTTTTAAATTTCTTTGGCAGGTCTTTTCCCACAATCCCTAATAAGAACAGTGTAAACAAGTTTCGATGGATGCAATAATGGAATACTGAATGGTATAGTTTTTGTAAAATATGCAGGGATTTACAACTTGCAAAATGAACCATGGAAAGAGAAGAAGGGGAGTCGCTGATATCTTAAGGATGCAGAATGAGTATTTTAAATTGTAAAACAGACAATTTAATAAAAATTATATAAAATAAAAGTTGCACCCAGGATATAATGCAGTAGAAAAGGCTTGCATAAAAACACTGGCGAGGATGGGAAATCAATTTATGAAACAATGTTTTGAACAACGATTTGAAGGCAATTGCGAAAATGTTTGAAAAAATTAATTTAAAAATTATGTATAAAAATTGCACCCAGGATAAGGTAAAGGTAAAGGTACCCCTGCCCGTACGGGCCAGTCTTGCCAGACTCTAGGGTTGTGCGCTCATCTCACTCTATAGGCCGGGAGCCAGCGCTGTCCGCAGACACTTCCGGGTCACGTGGCCAGCGTGACAAGCTGCATCTGGCGAGCCAGTGCAGCACACGCAACGCCGTTTACCTTCCCGCTGGTAAGCGGTCCCTATTTATCTACTTGCACCCGGGGGTGCTTTCGAACTGCTAGGTTGGCAGGTGCTGGGACCGAACGACGGGCGCTCACCCCGTCATTGCGGGGATTCGAACTGCCAACCATGCGATCAGCAAGTCCTATGCGCTGAGATTTTACCCACAGCGCCACCCAGGATAGTTGCCTTTAATCAGCAACCGTTTCCCAGCTTGAAATGACAGCAGTTGCATCTCTTCGGTGGCACTGGCAACTTTTAATGCCCACTTCCTCTTTGCAGTCAAGAGTCATCTCATCCTTGGCTTGTCTGTTGCTTTTGATTTTATTTGCAACGACATTTTTATTAAAACACGACAAAACAAAATCAGTCCACTTAGCACTGATTTCAGTAACGCAGCCCACAAGCGAAATGAAAAATCAAGTCACAGGGTAAGTTATGCAAATGGGCAGAAATGAAACGGAAAACCTCCCAGTTTCAGAATATAAAAGTAATACTAGTTTGAAGAGTTTCTCAAACACTTCGGGGGGGGGGGGGGGAGGAAGCAGGAAGCAGAAGAAGAGTCCTCAGTAGTTCAGAGGGTCCTGACACAAAATTGCAAAACTGACTGCAGGGGGGAACACCTTTGTTGTGGTTCAAGGACCCGATCCCTGCTTTGTGGAATGAAGACACACAGACACAGTGTATAAGGTTAATGGGCAAGAAAAGGCCACAACTTTATTTAGTGAAGGCAGTGAAGGTCCTGTGTGAGTGCCTGGAGGTGGTTGGAGGTTGGATGGCGGCTAACAGATTGAGGTTGAATCCTGACAAGACAGAAGTACTGTTTTTGGGGGACAGGAGGCGGGCAGGTGTGGAGGATTCCCTGGTCCTGAATGGGGTAACTGTGCCCCTGAAGGACCAGATGCGCAGCCTGGGAGTCATTTTGGACTCACAGCTGTCCATGGAGGCACAGGTCAAATCTGTGTCCAGGGCAGCTGTTTACCAGCTCCATCTGGTACGCAGGCTGAGACCCTATCTGCCTGCGGACTGCCTCGCCAGAGTGGTGCATGCTCTGGTTATCTCCCGCTTGGACTACTGCAATGCGCTCTACGTGGGGCTACATTTGAAGGTGACCCGGAAACTACAACTAATCCAGAACGCGGCAGCTAGACTGGTGACTGGGAGCGGCTGCAGAGACCACATAACACCGGTCTTGAAAGACCTACATTGGCTCCCAGTACGTTTCCGAGCACAATTCAAAGTGTTGGTGCTGACCTTTAAAGCCCTAAACGGCCTTGGTCCAGTATATCTGAAGGAGCATCTTCACCTCCATCGTTCTACCCGGACACTGAGGTCCAGCACCGAGGGCCTTCTGGCGGTTCCCTCACTGCAAGAAGCCAAGTTACAGGGAACCAGGCAGAGGGCCTTCTCGGTAGTGGCGCCTTGCCTGTGGAACACCCTCCCACCAGATGTCAAAGAGAACAACAACTACCAGGCTTTTAGAAGACATCTGAAGGCAGCCCTGTTTCGGGAAGCTTTTAATGTTTGATGTATTATAGCATTTTAATATTCTTTTGGAAGCCGCCCAGAGTGGCCGGGGAAGCCCAGTCAGATGGGCGGGGTATAAATAATAAATTGTTATTATTATTATTATTATTGATTACAGCAAGTGAGAAGGTATTGGACCACAACACATTGACTCCACCCACTCAGAGAGGGGTGAGCCTAAAGGGGGTTTATTTACCAGCAGGTGGAGCCTGTTGATGCTAATCTAACTATAAGCTCTCCCCTGATGTCACCGAGGGTCGTGCCATGGCCCCCCGCCACACAGGCATCGGACAGGATCCACGACCGCCGGATTCCTTTAACAGAATACCCAAATTTGTTTTGTTTTTTTAAATGATATTTATTAAAGTTTCAGAAAAGGTTACAAAAATAAGGAAAAGGGAAAAAAAGAAAAGAGAAAATACAAAATACAGAAAAATAAAAACAATTAAAAACAAATCAATCTTTCCATATCTTGTCTTTCATTTACTTGTTTCCCTGACCTCCTCACACCTCCCTTTTTTGTATTCCAGTTCAGTTAGTTAATTCAGCAAATCCTTTCCCTCTTTGTTTTTATCTTAATCCTTTATCTTACTATATTATAACTTTAGATTCTCACCTGTTAACAATCCATTTTTACATACTCCTTTGTAACATTGCTGCTAAAACCACTTAACTTCATTCCGACATCATTCTAACATTCATTAATTTTGCAGTATTTCTGTAAATAATCTTTAAATTTCTTCCAATCTTCTTCCACTGACTCTTCTCCCTGGTCTCGGATTCTGCCAGTCATTTCCGCCAGTTCCATATAGTCCATCACCTTCATCTGCCATTCTTCCAAGGTGGGTAGATCTTGTGTCTTCCAATACTTTGCAATAAGTATTCTTGCTGCTGTTGTAGCATACATAAAGAAAGTTCTATCCTTCTTTGGCACCAAATTTGAAGGGGTAGGCGATGGCCACACCTAGCCCTTCCACACACCAACAACGCATTCCAATGCCTAACCGCCAAATACCAAGAAAGTTGTGACGATTGCTACGAGGTAGGCGAAAAAACCAAAAGGCCTAATGCCAGTTGGAAAAATTCCTACCAGGCCCCCAGGGCAACCTGGGCGACCAACCAAAGGTCCATAGCAAGGTCAAGCGAAAAGCTAAGCCCTAAGGGAGTGGTCGGTGGGTAACTCGTGACGAGAAGCTGAAAAGTGAGGCGGAATGGCTGGCGCAGCGGTATCTTAAACCGCAAACCACGCCCCCTCCAAGGGCCCCGCCCACAAACCTCCCCTCCAGGAGGAGAGTCTTTGCTGCAGAAAATGCGCTGATAGGCTCATTCTTTAACTACTTAGAGCAGACAGGTCCAAAATCTGTTTCTGGGGCCTAATTCGGCCCGCCGGTCAGTTTAATCCGGACCCTGTGCCAGTTTATTTCCTGGGGTAAAATCCTAAAAAAAAACCTCAACAACTTCAAGCCTAATAAAAGATCAACAAATTGTTGTAAGAGAGTCAGGTTCAGGGAGGGAAATAAAGGAAAATGACCCTACCAATATCAGAATTATAGCGTTCTACCTTTAAAACCCCACAAGAAACTGAACTGTGCCTCAGAGAATGCATTGTTTGAGAATAAATCATTTTGCTGCGTCTTTTTACCTTTGCTCTCACTGAAATGTATAAGAATGTATGCTATGTCTTTTTCATGTATCATTGAATGTATCATTTTACTGTGTCTTCCTTTGTTGTTGTTGTTTAGTCGTTTCGTCGTGTCCGACTCTTGGTGACCCCCTGGACCAGAGCACACCAGGCCCTCCTGTCTTCCACTGCCTCCCGCAGTTTGGTCAGACTCATGTTTGTGGCTTCGAGAACACTGTCCAACCATCTCATCCTCTGTTGTCCCCTTCTCCTTGTGCCCTCCATCTTTCCCAGCATCAGGGTCTTTTCCAGGGAGTCTTCTCTTCTCATGGCCAAAGTCTTGGAGCCTCATCTTCAGGATCTGTCCTTCCAGTGAGCTCTCGGGGCTGATTTCCTTCACAATGGAGAGGTCTGATCTTCTTGCAGTCCATGGGACTCTCAAGAGTCTCCTCCAGCACCAGAATTCAAAGGAATCCATTCTTCAGCAGTCAGCCTTCTTTATGGTCCAGCTCTCACTTCCATACATCACTACTGGGAAAACCATAGCTTTTACTATACGGACCTTTGTCAGCAAGGTGATGTCTCTGCTTTTTAAGATGCTGTCTAGGTTTGTCATTGCTGTGTCTTCCTTACCTTTTGCCATCACTGAGATATATATGAATGTATCACTGGAATGTATAAAAGTGTTTCTGAATGTATCCTTACTGAAATGTATCCATGAATGTAGCTTATTGAAATGTAATGCTGAACCTTCTGAGGCAAGAACCCCCTCAGGGAGGCAATTAGTTATTTATTACAAACTTCAATCCTAAATCCTAAAAAAAAAAAGAGGTCAACAACAGACCGGCTCTTTGGTCGGCCCTCACGGCCCTTCACTTTATCAAATCTGGCCCTCTTTGAATAAAGTTTGGACACCACTGACTTAGAGGGATATTGGCAGCAGAACTTACCATAGAATTGTCAAGTTGGGAAAGACTACAAGGATTGTCCAGTCCAACCCTCTGCAAAAAAAAAGAAGGAATATTTTGCCCAATTGGTGGAAGAATTGATGTTTTTGAATTATGGTGCTGGAGGAGACCCTTGAGAGTCCCATGGACTGCAAGAAGATCAAACCTCTCGATTCTGAAGGAAATCAGCCCTGAGTGCTCACTGGAAGGACATATCCTGAAGCTGAGGCTCCAAGACTTTGGCCACCTCAGGAGAAGAGAAGACTCCCTGGAAAAGACCCTGATGTTGGGAAAGATGGAGGGCCGAAGGAGAAGGGGGTGATGGAAGGCGAGATGGTGGGACAGTGTTCTCGAAGCTACCAGCATAAGTTTGACCAAACTGCGGGAGGCAGTGGAAGACAGGAGTGCCTGGTGTGCTCTGGTCCAGGGGCTCACAAAGAGTCAGACACGACTAAACGACTCAAGAACAACAACAAAAGTTCTGTTAATGGCTGTGTCCTTTATTTGTTTGGCAGGAGTGGACGTGCCGGAGGCAAGGCTTGTGTGAGACAATACAATACCAGAATGAGTTTGACCAAACTGCGGGAGGCAGTGGAAGACAGGAGGGCCTGGTCCACAAGGTCATGAAGAGTCGGACACGACTAAACAACTAAACAACAACAACAACACAATCCACCTTTCCTACTGAATATGCAAAGAAACTATGCCACACTTTTTCCAAGGTATCTGAAGAGGTGTGCATGCACACAAAAGCTTATACCCAGAACAAACTTAGTTGCTCTCAAAGGTGCTCTTGGACAATTTTTTAATTTATTTGTGAGCCAGTGTGGTGTAGTGGTTGAGAGCGGTAGTCTTGTAATCTGGGGAACCGGGTTCGCGTCTCCGCTCCTCCACATGCAGCTGCTGGGTGACCTTGGGCCAGTCACACTTCTTTGAAGTCTCTCAACCCTGATTTGAACCCTGTCAAGTGGTCGATTATGCAGGGTGGGGTTTACCTGCCCCTCAAAAAAATATTTTGTTCAAGTCGACACCCTTGGTATATAGCCTAAGTTGCATTTGCCACTTGGCGTTTTCTGAATGTGAATTTTAACAACTTGGAAGTCAAGTTTTCAGACCTGGAAATGATTTACCCTACAAGTTTATTCAATTTCTATCCCATCTTTCCCCCAGAGGGAAGCAGGCATAGAACTTGTCTCCCTACCTCCCTCCTAAACATACACTTAATCTTCTCAATCTTCTTGAGAGCCAGTGTGGTGTAGTGGTTAAGAGCAATAGATTCGTAATCTGGTGAACCGGGTTCGCTTCCCTGCTCCTCCACATGCAGCTGCTGGGTGACCTTGGGCCAGTCACACTTCCTTGAAGTCTCTCAGCCCCACTCACCTCACAGAGTGTTTGTTGTGGGGGAGGAAGGGAAAGGAGAATGTTAGCCGCTTTGAGACTCCTTAAAGGGAGTGAAAGGCGGGATATCAGATCCAAACTCTTCTTCTTCTTCTTCTTCTTATTTTGACTGCGTCAGAACAACACGGCTACCCACCTGAACCTAGTTGATGGTTGAGCATTGGGACTCCTCCTGAAAGCTAATGTGTTGGGTGGGGCGGAGGGCTTCAAAAGGCAGGGCTTTGTGCCCCCACCACCCCGTCCACAACGCCCCATTGTTGTGTCTCCTCCCCATTAAGCCTGCCTGACTTTATCATGCCTGATTAGATCTCCACCACAATCAGTCCTGAATTGCTCCACTTCACCAGTTGGGGCACAAGGACTTGAATAGAGACAATGTCTTGATAGAGGGCAGGATGGAGCTATAGACTCCACAAGCACCTCTCACCTGGGGCAAAAAGCAGGAGGCCCCTTCCTGTCCTCCATGCCCTGGGCCATCTTGCAAGCTCCCCCAGCCTCAGGCTGAATTTTGCTAGTACAGTGGTACCTCGGGTTAATAACTTAATTCGTTCTGGAGGTCTGTTCTTAGTATGAAACTGTTCTTAACCTGAAGCACCACTTTAGCTAATGGGGCCTCCTGCTGCCACCGCGCTGCCACCACACGATTTCTGTTCTCATCCGGAAGCAAAGTTCTTTTTTTTTTTTTACCATAATATTTATTAATTTTCATTAGACATAACAAAAAAGAGAAAATGCAACAACAACACAACAACAACACAATAAAAGAGTGAAAAATAAGAAAAAAGAATAACAAACTTAACATACCTAAACAAAAAAAAAGAAACTCAACCAATTAATTAAAATCCATTTTCATAAACGTTTTAGATGACTTCCTCTAATCTCCTCCATCTGAATTTCCTCTTAATTTGAATGTAGCAGTTTCCAATATCATTATTTCATAAAACAATATTACAGTCATATTCCAATTTCTTTACCTTTCTTATAGTACATTTTCTTATTTATATATTTAAGTCTAATTTAGTCCTAAGCCTGATCTGAAGCAAAGTTCTTAACCCGAGGTACTATTTCTGGGTTAGCGGAGAATAGCGGAGTCTGTAACCTGAAGTGTCTGTAACCCGAGCTACCACTGTATTCATCCAGACTAATTTGTGCAGCAAAGGCCCAGATCACAAATGGACGTTCAACAGAAAAGCACACACAGAGATCATTTATACACAAATCCTTTTTGCCTGTTTGAGCAGGTGTGTTGGGCTTACGTAAAGTTGGCCGAGAAAAGAGCCCAGCTTTGCCAAGGATTCTGCTAGCAAAAGCCCCCCCCCCCCCCGGTTCAATCCTGTAACCCTGGGTATCTACTTCCAGTCAGTGTAGACCAGGGGTCAGCAAGCTTTTTCAGCAGAGGGCCAGTTCACTGTCCCTCAGACCTTGTGGGGGGCCGGACTATATTTTGAAGGGGAAAAGAATGAACGAATTCCTATGCCCCACAAATAACCTGGAGATGCATTTTAAATAAAAGGACACATTCTACTCATGTAAAAACATGCTGATTCCCTGACTGTCACGCCGGATTGAGAAGGCGATTGGGCCGCATCCGGGCCCCGGGCCTTAGGCTGCCTACCCATGGTGTACTGAAGATGGTACTGAGCTCTCGATGGACCAACAATCAGATTGACTTGGTTGACTCCAGTTTCCTGGAGTTTCCTCCAGTTTCCAGTTTCCTGGAAGGGACCCTGAGGATCATTTAGTCCAACCCCCTGCGATGCAGGAATATGTAGCTGTCCTTTACAGGGATCGAACCTGCAACCTTGGGGTCATCAGCACTGTGCTTTAACCAACTGAGCTATTTAAACCAGTCCTTTATTCAGAACCATGAGGTCTAGAACCTTAGTTTATTCTTTTTTTAATGAAAATTTTCACATAGACAAATATACACGAGTTACATAACAAATAAAACAGAAAATGATACAAATTAATAGAAACAATGAAATAAGAAAAGATAAAGAAACAAACGTAAACAAATACAATATATTACACTTACATGACAGATTAAAATATATAACTTCTCATTATACTACTTATATTATCTGTATTCCTTGCACAGATTCAAATTATTTTTGTATATAGATATATAATCCACTATTATATTTTAGGTAATTCTTGGTTGCCAGTATCACTCTATTTCTGCAAGTATCTTATTGTTCGTACAGTACATTTTAAAGTATTCTTTAAATATTTTCCATTCCCTATATACCTTAGTTTATTCTTTAGTTTTATCCCAACAAGACAGAAGTGCTGTTTCTGGGCGACAGGGGGCAGGCAGGTCCTGAATGGGGTAACTGTGCCCCTGAAGGACCAGGTGCGCAGCCTGGGAGTCATTTTGGACTCACAGCTGTCCATGGAGGAGCAGGTCAATTCTGTGTCCAGGGCAGCTGACTACCAGCTCCATCTGGTATGTAGGCTGAGACCCTACTTGCCCGCAGACTGTCTTGCCAGAGTGGTCCATGCTCTGGTTATCTCCTGCTTGGACTACTGCCATGTGCTCAATGTGGGGCTACCTTTGAAGGTCACCCAGAAACTACAATTAATCCAGAATGCGGCAGCTAGACTGGGGACTGGGAGTGGCCCCCGAGACCATATAACACCCATCCTGAAAGACCTACCTTGCCTCCCAGGATGTTTCTGAGCACAATTCAAAGTGTTGGTGCTGACTTTGAAAGCCCTAAACAGCCTCGGTCCAGTATACCTGAAGGAGCATCTCCCCATTGTCCAGTAAAATTACAGGGAACCAGGCAGAGGGCCTTCTTGGTAGTGGCACCCGCCCTGTGGAACGCCCTCCCATCAAGGAGATAAGTAACTATACAACCTTTAGAAGACATCTAAAGGCAGCCCTGTAGAGGGATTTAAAAAACAAACAAACACATGTTTAATGTTCTATTATGTTTTTATATGTTTATGTTGGAAGCCACCCAGAGTGGCTGGGTTGGCCCAGTCAGATGGGCAGGGTACAAATAATAATAATAATAATATTCTTTCTAGCAGCGATAGGATTTTAAAATTATTATTATTATTAGAGGGGTTTTTGAGTAGAAACCCTGGGGAAATGAGTTACCTTACCCTTGTTGAAATTAAATAATTGATTTTTTTTGGTCGGGGAGGGCTAGGACAGAGGGCTTGCCCACTATACCTATATTATTATTATTATTATTATTATTATTATTATTATTATTATTTACACCCAATTCCTGAGCCAAAACTCCACCTATGTCTGTAAGCAATAAAGTTTGTGGCCATTTCTAATCCAGATCAATGTCTGCTTGAGTTTATTCATCCAATCTTACATTTCCCACAGTTGGGGTGAGGGTACAACGCTGCAACTGGGCCCTAAATAAAGAAAATAAATAAATAAAGGAACTTCGTGGTGAGTCCCCCCACCTTTATAAAAAAAAGCACTGGTCATTATTATTAGCAGTATTCGCATGACCAATCCAATGTGTTCATTCATTTTCCCGTTGAAAGGAAAACGCGCCCTCGAACGAAGGCGCCGCGCGGCCAGCAGAGGACGCTGCCCGGCGGGTTCCTCTGAGGCGGGCGCGTCGCAGCGGCAATTCTCCGGCGCCAGGGGGCGCTTCTCCCGGCTCCGTCGGCTCCCCCCCACCCCGCCCGCCTCCCTTTTGTTGCCTGGGGTGCCTGGCTGCTATATAAGCGGCGGCGGGGAGGAGCCCGCAGCTCGCTGCTCCCGTCCGCGCGGCCGCCTGCTGCTGCTCTTCGCCTGAGACTCGCCCCGCCGCGCGGAGACGTCGCCCGGCCGCCATGGAGATGAAGAAACGGCTCAACCTGGAGCTGCGGAACAAGAAGCCAGCCGAGGTGAGCCTTCCCTCCTTCCCCCGGCCCAGGCCCGGCTGCCTTCCCCCGCCTCCGGCCCGCTTCGCGCACACGTGTGCGCGGCCGACATGTTGGAGACGCGCGCCGCGCTCCTGGGCGCACGGAAACCCATCCTCGCCCTGCAGTTTTTGGAGTGCCCTTTTCCCCATTTTTTCTCATTTTTCCGCGCCTTCTTCCTTTCCTCCCCGATCCTTTTCATTCCCGCCTCTGGGAGAGAAAGGGGGGGCCCTCGACCTATTTTTTTGCGACCCCTTTTAAGACCCCCCCCAAAAAAAACCCAAGAGCAACACATGCGCCGCTTTGCCTTTCGCCTCTCCAAAAGTGTGTTTTTACGCACAAGATAAGTTTTAGGGGGTTCTTGGAACAGGCGGATTTAAAAATAAAATAATCAAATTGGGATCTGTTTTTTGGGGGGAGGGGGGTCCTGCCCCGCCCCTTGACCCATATGTTTTGTAAAGTGGGGGGAGGAATCTGGTTTCCCCTGCATTCTGAATGCTTGCTTGGGGAGTTGAACCGAGGCCTACTTGGCTACTTCCCACGCCTAGTTGAGGGGTTCTTTTTAATGGGGGGGGGAATTGCTTGTTTCTTTTCGGGGACGGGGGGGAGAGAGCGAGCTCGGTGAGTGGGGTAGTTATGTGGCCTCGGGGGGGGGGTGCTTAAAAAATATTCCCACCCCAGGAATGTTGGAGTAGGCATTTGAATGTTTTCCGGAAAGGTGGAGCGGAATAACCCCCCACCCCCACCCCAAAGGGAGAAAGAAATGCCCTGTAGGCCTTGGACCGCCCCCCTCCATCCCGGGAACGCGGGTCAGAGTTGTGAATTGTGATTTCCCCCGGCTTCGTTTGTAAGGGCTCGCTTTACCCGGTCTATAAATGATGCGTAACTAAAGCGCACATGGTGGGGTTTTTGTGGTGTTTTCTTTAATGCAATCTTGGGTCGGCGGGGGGAGGAGGAAGGATGGCGGCAGTTTCCTCCCTACCCATAGGCACTCCCCCCCTCCATAAACCGCTTCCTTGCGCCCTCCCAAAAGCACAATTCTTCTCTTTCCCGCCCCCCCCCGCCAGCTGCGCACGTGGAAACGCGTTTACTAAAAAAAAACCCCAGACGATCATATATATATATAACTACTGGTGCTGGGAGAAGGGCGATCAGTGAGGGAAGAGTTTGTTTCCCACCCGCTTAATTCCCTCCTCCTAAACCCCCCCCCCCCATTTTACCACCTCGGGGAGTGGGAGGAGAAAAACCACAGTGGAGCTTTTGAGAGCGCAGAGGAAAGGAGGGGTTTGGCGCTGGGTGGCTGCGCGCCTCGCCAAAGAAGGCGCTGCTTTGTAAAAAAAAAAGGGGGGGGTTGAGATTAAAATCTCAAGTGGTTTCCCTCCCCCCTCTTGGTTTTGGGAGAGAAGCAGAAAGGGAAAGGAAGGGGATGTTGCGGGGGGGGGGGCGGAATGGATGCATGCCGAGCCGCGTCCACGTGTAGCTTTTTTTTGGAGGCGGGGGGGGGGGGAGGGAGGGATGGGGACTGGGTCAGGCAGGCGGATGGAGAGGCCAAGGGGGCCTTTTATGGTTTGGGGGTTTAAAGGGTCATCCAAGATGGTCTAGCAGCAGGGGGGGAGCGTGGCTTGGGCTGAATGAAAGGCGGGTTGCGGGGTGGGGGGAGAGGCCGGTGATACATACACACACACACACACACACACGAACCAATTGAATTTATGGTTGCACCCAGGAGCTGGGAGATAGAGCCTTGACCCTGACTTGGACGGGGGGTGGGGGTCTGAAACTGCTGTTAGAAGTCTTGCAAGAACACACACAAACACACAATCTCTGTGTGTGTTTAGGCTTTCTGGTCCATTTTGAGCAATGCTTTTGGCTGAGTTGCACCCAGGAGCCAAGCTGACCCGTATTACTGAGGGTTGCTTGGCTGCAGTTTGGATCAGCCACATTTTTTGGGGGGGGGTGTTTTGTGTATTGGGGGGGGGGCTTGCCAGGTGTGGACACTGGTCCTCTGCTGTTGCTTCGCTTGGTTTCCAGGCGCCTGGCTTCCTGTGTGTGTGGCTGCCATTGTGGGGGTTAAGCCTTGGCCCCCCGCCTCTTTTGGGAGGAGCCAGGACTGCTTTCTCCACTACTGATAGCTTGGGCAGTATCATGGCTCCCCCAGCAAGGAACTCTGGGAATTGTAGTTCTTTGGGGGGGAGGGACTATAAACTGGCACATCTGGGGGAATCCTGTTTGGAGGGACAGTTTGCAATCATTGTACCTGTGTTTAAGAATAATTTCAGCGTGTTTCACGTAGAAAACACCCTCCCTTAAAAATTAAAAAGAGCCACGCTTAACTACGTAAAACTTGAGTCAGGTCATTGTCTGCATTGGATGGTAGCAGCCCAACAGCTGAGAGCTTTCTGCATGCCTAGCAGGTGTACTGGGGGGTCTTCTGCACTCCAAGCAGTTGTTCTGCCACTGAGAACCTATGTATTCATCACATTGTTGAGACAGGATGATGGGGGGGGCAGCCTCTCTATTTCGTGTTAGAAACTCCCGATTTTTAAGCTAGTCGCCAAACTTGCACCTTAGAGCTAGCGTATGGTTGCCACAATGGAATGACTAGGTGTCTGTTTTTTCATTTTTGCGGTGAACTTTATTATTACCCTTATTAATTATTTCGGTTTCTCTTCTGCTTTTATATTTTAAAAGGGGAGGGCTGTCTCTAAGCGGTTTACAACACATTAAAACATCCAGTCAAATGATCTGGAACGAAACAAATTCAAGCTCCAAGGAAAACATTTCAGATCCTTCTCTCCAGTAGATGATGAGTCTCTGTCCTCAAGGAGCTTGCAGTTTAAAATAGGCAAGGGGGAGGAGGAATGAGAGGAAATTGCGGTGGATTGCATCCAACGAAATTCTAACTGTTGCGATTAGTAGCTCTGAATTAAAAGGGCAGTTTAATTTCAGCGGGTCTGCTCTGACCTAGAACGTTTCAGGTGTGCGGAAATGCTTTTCCTTAATTCTCCCCCCAGTAAGGTAGGCTAGCAATGACCTTGGCTGTTCCACCTGCGAAATGGGGATAAGGATAGGACTTGCTCATGACATTTGTGGCTGTGTCAAGATGGAAACCAGTGTCTATTCGGCTTGGACTCATTCCATTTCCCCCTGCCTTGAAAGTGCCTTAGGGACTGTTTGTCAAAAGGCGACACCGCAAATTCGGGGCCAGTCTGAATTGGTGTGGGCTTTTAAGTTACTGAGAGCTCTTCTATTGGGTGGGATGAGAGGGGAATGAGCTTTAGCAGACGAGGACACGGCAAATATTTTTCTGCTGCCCTTGACAGGGGTCTGCCACAAGTAGTGTTTCTGGAATGGCCTTGACGGTTTTGGAGTACAACCCAGTGAGCTTCCTGACGGGAGTGGGGATTCGAACCCTGATCTCCCAGGTCCCGGTCTATGACACTCTAACCACTATCCCACCCTGCCTTCCTAGAGGCCTCCTGCTATGGGGCAGCTCTATAAATTGAGTACAGTGGTGCTTCAGGTTACATATGCTTCAGGTTACAAACTCCGCTAACCCAGAAATAGTGCTCCGGCGGTGCAGCAGCAGCAGGAGCCACAACCCGTTCCTGCCAACCCAGCAGTTCGAAAGCACACCAGTGCAAGTAGATAAATAGGTACCGCTCCGGCGGGAAGGTAAACGGCGTTTCCGTGCGCTCTGGTTTCCGTCACGGTGTCCCACTGCGCCAGAAGCGGTTTCGTCCTGCTGGCCACATGACCTGGAAAGCTGTCTGTGGACCAACACCGGCTCCCTTGGCCTGAAAGCGAGATGAGCGCCGCAACCCCAGAGTCGCCTTTGGCTGGACTCAACCGTCCAGGGGTCCAGTACCTTTTGCCATCCTGGGAGATCTTCCTTTCCCTTCCTCTCAAACATCTGCATCTCCTTAACCCACACAAAATGCAAAGGACCAGAGCAGGAAGGGAAAAGGAGCAAAAAGAAAAAGATTTTCCACTAGTTCTACTAGCTAAGGATGATGCGAGTTGGAAAATGCTGTTCCAGAGCTTTGTGAAGCTGTCTCCCTTGAACCCTTGAGGCTTTGCTTTATACCAGGGTGGATAAAAACCAGTGATTAAAAAATAATAATCAAAAAATTGGATGTTTTTGATTTTAATTGGATTTTTACAATACAAAATGCTTTGGGAGGAAAAATGTTTCTAAGGATAGTTTTCTGTTACATTATACTCCAGAGGCTATTCAACAGGAAATAAGGATTTAAGTTTTTTATGTGTGCTAAAACTCAAGTCTTAAGTTGTTGCTGTTTTTAATTGTTTAACCACATCGGTTAACAAACATGGATACATATGCTATAATGTTACTGTTTTAGTTAAGTAAGTTGTTTAAATGGTTATTTTTTTCTCCTTCCACTAAAGGACAGCAGAAAAGTTGTCCAAATATAAACAGTTAACTTACTAAACTTTACAATGATTTCATAAGTGTGTATTCCTAATGGTATGACCAAATCGGTGTTTTTGATATAACTGTTAAAAAAAGGACTCTGAAAAATTACTGTTCCAAAAATGAAACCTTAAATCTGGTTGTAAATATTCAGATTATACCAGTGCGAATGAGTCTTTCGGTAAGAAAGTGATTTAAATCTAGTCTTACTGACTAGCGATTTAAATTGATTTGATTTAAATCAAAACCACTCTGCTTTTTACAGTTCGTCCTGCGCTCCAGGCCGCCTTCCGCCTTCCCGTGGCGCTAGTCCCTAGTGTGGCAAAGCAGCAAATGGGAACTGCATACAATTGAGCCGTTCGCAGTAGGGTGGATTTGATTTAAATCACTAGTCAGTAAGACTTGATTTAAATCGTTTGGTTATACCGTTAGAAATACATGGACAGATAATTATGAAATTATGGTGAGATTTAATAAGTTAACTGTTTATATTTGGACAACTTTTCTGCTGTGCTTTATTGGAAGGAGAAAAATGAATCATTTCCTTAATAAGAATTTTAACAATTTATTTAACTGAAACAATAACATTACAGTGGTTCCTCAGGTTACGGACGCTTCAGGTTACAGACTCCACTAACCCAGAAATATTACCTCGGGTTAAGAACTTTGCTTCAGGATGAGAACAGAAATCGTGCTCCGGCGGCGCGGCAGCAGCAGGAGGCCCCATTAGCTAAAGTGGCGCTTCAGGTTAAGAACAGTTTCAGGTTAAGAATGCACCTCCAGAACAAATTAAGTTCTTAGCCCGAGGTACCACTGTATAGCATATCTATCCATGTTTGTTAACTGATGTGGTTAAACGATATTTTTTTTAAAAAAACACACCTTAGACTGAGTTTTAGCACACATGAAAAACTTGAAACAAATCCTCATTTTTTAACAAAACACCATTGATTTTTTTATCTACCCTGGTTTGGGGGGGGGGAGATGGCGAAGTCTTCCTGGAGCTCAAAATTGCGTTTCTCTGAAGGGGGCCCTTTCCGATAGGAGTTGTAAAGATAAAGGTAAAGGGACCCCTGACCATTAGGTCCAGTTGTGGCCGACTCTGGGGTTGCGATGCTCATCTCGCTTTATTGGCCGAGGGAGCCGGCGTACAGCTTCCGGGTCATGTGGCCAGCAGGACTAAGCCGCTTCTGGTGAACCAGAGCAGCGCACAGAAACGCCGTTTACCTTCCCGCCGGAGTGGTAGCTATTTATCTACTTGCACTCTGACGTGCTTTCGAACTGCTAGGTTGGCAGGAGCAGGGACCGAGCAACGGGAGCTCACCCCGTCGCGGGGATTCGAACCGCCGACCTTCTGATCGGCAAGTCCTAGGCTCTGTGGTTTAACCCACAGCGCCACCCGCATCCCAATAGGAGTTATAGCTGTCGTCAAAAAGACCCCCCCAACAAGACAGGGAGCTTTTTCAGCCTTAAACCTCTGGGCCAAACCTCCCTCCATCAGCCCAGCCGCTTCCCTGATCTCTGCTGTCCTCTTGTTGCAGAATTTGGACATTTAGCGCAGGAAAAGTCTCTGAAGCGTCGGCGCAATTTGGTGATGGTGTGGGAGTTGGGGGGCAGGTTGAGAGGTTGGTTTACATTAAAAATGCAAGCGATTTTGGTGACGGAAGGATGAATTAACTCCTTCTGTTCTTTTAATGAGAGGATTCCGATTTTGGGTTTAAATTTGTGTAAATGGCAGGGGAGGGGTGCACTTGAAAGGGGGGTGTTGCTCAGCACCCCCTTCTTGGGACACCCCCTCCCCCCGACAGATCTAGGTCCTGATCAAAGCTTCCGGGGGTGTTAGTTTCCTTGGATGAATTTTCGAACATTACACAGTATGTTTATGCCACCATAGCCAGAACCTAGACAAAAGCTGCAACCGTTAAGAGCTTGTGCTTGCTTTTCTCTTCCTCCCTCCTGTTCTTCTTTCCTCTTGTGCCATGTCTGTTTTAGATTTTTAGAGGGCAGAGACTTCTCCATTTGGAAGCCATGAGCTGTTTGCAGGGCAGGGGGCTATAAAAGGGCACACAAATGCATCTCCCTAGTGGCGAAATGGGTCTGTGCGCAATGTTAGCCGGAACATTGGTGCTTCCAGCTGTGTGCAGGGTTCCTGCATTGCAGCGGGGTTGAGCTAGATGACCCTATGGGGTCCCTACAATCATATGATTCTCTGAAGTGCCATAAGCAAATGATATGGGGGTGCTAAGACTTGTGGCTTACAAAGCTTCTGTTAGCGGCCATCTTCTCTCTTTTTGTGATCCCTCGTAGCCGAGTAAGATTGTCTTCCATAAACACGGTTTTAACAATGAGTCTGTAAGTGACTGTGGAGGCCAATTCTGGATCCACACGTCCTTCCACAGTGTGGACATAGGTTTCCGGGTGGGAGTTGATTCCGGTGAGGGTTTGCCAAGCGTGCCTTCCTCTTAGCACGTTTCTCCCTTGTGTCCTGAGTTCGAGTGTCTTCAAAGCCCATGACACCTTTGGCAAAGGCTGTTTTGCAACTGGGGCGCTCGCAGGCCAGTGTTTATACTACATTCTTTTAAATTTGCCTTGAGAGAGTCTTTGAACCTCTTTTGTTGACCACCAGCATTACGCTTCCCATTTTAAAGTTCAGAATAGAGTACAGTGGTACCTCAGGTTACATACGCTTCCAGTTACAGACTCCGCTAACCCAGAAAAAGTGCTTCAGGTTAAGAACTTTGCTTCAGGATGAGAACAGAAATTGTGCTCCGGCGGCAGCAGGAGGCCCCATTAGCTAAAGTGGTGCTTCAGGTTAAGAACAATTTCAGGTTAAGAACGGATCTCCGGAACGAATTAAGTACTTAACCTGAGGTACCACTGTAGTTGCTTTGGAATACGATAATCAGGCATCCTCACAACATGACCAGTCCAACCAAGTTGATGTTGAAGAATCATTGCCATAATAGGGTGCTGGCTTCCTTAACCCAATTCTTCCCCGATCTTGACATTCGGTTCATTGTATCCGGACGGCTGCACCTTCCATTGGGTTTGAAGGAGGAGGCAGGAAAACAGCTTGGTTTTCGCAGTGCAAAGAATGCGGCTGCTTCTCGCGCCGTCTGCTAACGCAGCCGGTTCGGTGGCATTGCTGCTGGCCAGGATTAGGTCACTCAGCCGTGATACCGTACAGCTGACTCACCCTGGCTTGTGGGGCTGCTGTTGCGGAAGCTATGTGCCTCCTGCCAAAATCCGGCTGCGCCGAATCTGTCCGCAAAGCCTGGTCTTGTCTTCGCTGACCCGCAAAGCAATTCCAGGGGGGTGAGTGTTTTCCCAGCGAGTTGTTCGTTGCCTTTCTGTCAGAAAGTGGCAGGATGGGACGCCAGTAGGAGCAGATTTCAGTAAGGACCGGAAAAGCTGCCTTAAGTTGGTCCATCTAATTCAGGGGTCAGCAACCTTTTTCAGCCGTGGGCCGGTCCACTGTCCCTCAGACCATGTGGTGGCCCGGACTATATTATTTTGTGGGGGGAAGAATGAATTCCTCTGCCCCACAAATAACCCAGAGGTGCATTTTCAATAAAAGGACACATTCTACTCATGTAAAAACACCAGGCAGGCCCCACAAATAACCCAGAGATGCATTTTCAATAAAAGGACACATTCTACTCATGTAAAAACATGCTGATTCCCGGACTGTCAGGCCAGATTGAGAAGGCGATTGGGCCGGATCCAGCCCACGGCAGTACCTATTTATCTACTTGCACTTGACGTGCTTTCGAACTGCTAGGTTGGCAGGAGCAGGGACCGAGCAACAGGAGCTCACCCCGTCGCGGGGATTCGAACCGCCGACCTTCTGATCGGCAAGTCCTAGGCTCTGTGGTTTAAACCACAGCGCCACCCGCATCCCATTTAGGTTACCTACCCCTGATCTAATTAATTCATCAGCACTAAAGCCAATCTGGCATCCTCCAAAGCAGTGGTTCCCAAACGTTTGGAGGCTGATTCCCAGCGCCCATAAAAAGCAGCGTTCAGAATTGCAGTTTGTATGACTCACTGAAGAACGTCAGATCTTTCCAGGCCCTAGTCCGACATTTTAACCTTGGCACCCCAGTGGTTTCCAAGAGTCCTCCTGCTATGGTTCAGCTCTATAAATTAAGTTGTTAGAACATTATTAGCCACATGTTGCCTGTTGTTGCTTCAGTTTTTCTATAAATTAAGTGGGTCAATCAATATGGGAAAAGTAAAAATGTCCCTTAGAGAAGGATCTGAAATATTTTCCCGGAAACTTGAGTCTTCTTTATTTATTTGGTTAAATTAGATCGTACTTCCTCAACCTCGGCCCTCCAGATGTTTTGAGACTACAATTCCCATCATCTCTGACCACTGGCCCTGCTGGCTAGGGATCATGGGAGTTGTAGGCCAAAAACATCTGGAGGGCCGAGGTTGAGGAAGCCTGTACGGTGGTACCTCGGGTTAAGTACTTAATTCGTTCCGGAGGTCCGTTCTTAACCTGAAGCACCACTTTAGCTAATGAGGCCTCCTGCTGCCGTCGCGCCGCCGGATCACTATTTCTGTTCTCATCCTGAAGCAAAGTTCTTCACCCGAGGTACTATTTCTGGGTTAGCAGAGTCTGTAACCTGAAGCGTATGTAACCTGAAACATATGTAACCCGTGGTACCACTGTATTAGATCATGGGTAGGCAAATTAAGGCCCGGGGGCTGGATCCAGCCCAATCACCTTCTTAATCCAGCCCACGAACAGTCAAGGAATCAGTGTGTTTTGACATGGAGTAGAATGTGTCCTTTTACAGTGGTACCTCGGGTTACATACGCTTCAGGTTACAGATTCCGCTAACCCAGAAATAGTGCTTCAGGCTAAGAACTTTGCTTCAGGATAAGAACAGAAATCGAACTACGGCGGTAGCAGGAGGCCCCATTGGCTAAAGTGGTGCCACTGTATTTAAAAGGCATCTCTGGCATATTTGTGGGGCATGGAAATTCATTCATTTCCCCCCCCCCAAAAAAATATAGTCTGGCCCCCCAGAAGGTCTGAGGGACAGTGGACAGGCCCCCTGCTGGAAAAGTTTGCAGACCCCTGTATTACGTGTTTTCATGTGCTGCAAACCGCTTTGAGATATATCTCTCTCCCCACCCCCACCCCCCGGCTTTAAAATACAAAACAGCATAGAAATGAAATGAATAATAATAAATTTCATTGAGAAAGAGAATGCCACGTAGACACCCCATTGTGGGGACCTGCAGCCTAGCTTTAAGGTGCTGTTTGGCCTACATATCTTGAGTTTCTAACACTTGAGCAAAGTTAATTGTGCATTTGTTCAAACTCCAATTAAAACTATTCCAAGGCCTGTGCATCAGGAGATAAACTCCCTCTGCAGTGTTTGATAATCAGCTTAAAAACGGGGGCTGGGGAGGGGGAGGGCTTGTGTGTTTTCCGGGAGGATTTTTAAAGCCCTTAAAAAAAAATAGTCCTTATTCCTTGCATTGGGAAATGGCTGTTGCTTCCATAACTACGTTGCCGGAGTCCTTTTGTGCTCGCGGCCACCAGGCGGCTCTGTGAGCTTGGCTGAAAATACTCCTGATTTAATGAAAAACTTTTTTCTGGAGAGGTTGGCAAATGTCTCTTTTTGGGGGGACGGACGGACATGTTTGGTACAGAGTCCTCCAGCTCCTGATCTTTAGCACAAAGGCCTGTTCCATTTGCCGATGTTGCTCTTTTCAAACGCCCAAAATCTTTTTTTCTTAGCGAGCGTTTTATCTATGACTCGTTAACAGCCTGACTCCCTCCTCTGGCAATCTGCACAGAATTTTTGCTTAACGGTTGCCATCAATTTGATTTGAATTAATTTTATAATGAAATGTTTTTAGAATGTTGGATTGTTTGATTGTTGTTAGCCGCCCTGAGCCCGGCTTCGGCTGGGGAGGGCGGGATATAAATAAAATTTATTATTATTATTATTATTAACGACTGTCCTATGAGGTGGTCCCTCCCATTTACCCTCGTAATTAAATGGAAGCCCTTGTAATTACAGATAAGAAAACCGGAGGCAAAGCAAATCTTGCCTTTCCAAAGGCCATATATATACTGTTCCTGTAGAAAAAGCCCAAGACTTGAGTCATCTTGTGTGGCGAAGGTGTCGTGAGAACTGGGTCCACTTCTTGTAATTTATGGATTTAAGAGCTGGGGGTGAAATCAAGGCCCTGGGTCTGTTTCAGAAATTGCACCTTGTGCCATTGCGATGCAGGAATATGCTGTTGTCCCAGGGTGGATAAAAATCCATTATTATTTTTAAAATCAGATTCTTTTCATTTAAATTGGATTTTTATTTATTTAAATCGGATTTTTAAAATAAAATGCTTTTGGGGAATTTCCCCCCCTAAAGATAGGTTACATTACACTCCAAAGTTACTATTCATAAGTTACATTATACTCCAAAGGCTATTCATCAGGAAATAAGGATTTCCCCCCCAGTTTTTCATGTGTGCTATAACTTAACAAACATGGATACATATGCTATAATGTTACTGTTTTAGTTAAATAAATTACTAAGGAAATGATTGTTTTTCACCTTCCAGTAAAGTACAGCAGAAAAGTTGAAACTGAAACCTTCATCTGGTTGTAAATATTGAGATTATACCAGCAATAATGTGTCTTTCTGTAAAAAAATAATGAGAGAGTTTGGCTTCCTTCTTCCTTTCTTTACCTTGTTTAAATAAAAGTTTTATTTGGTTTTACAAATTCATTCACACACATAAAGTTCTTACAGTTGTTAAAATTAAAAACAAGATTCTTCCGAATCTTAGGGGCTTCCCTCATCCCATCCGTGGGTTCTTTAAAAAAAACCTTTTTGTCAAGTGCATATTTTAAGTTCATTCAAGGAACAGTCCTCCATTATATCCAAAGTCTTCGTAACGTCGTAAGAGTTATTTAAAGCCTGCCCAAAAGAGTTCAAGTGTTTAACAGTGTTCTTTTAGATACAATCTGCATTTGTCCCATTCTCTGTTGAAGTTTTGGTCCTCCTGGTTTCAGATTTTCCTGGTCGGTCTTGCAATCTCTGCATAGTCACAATAATTTCATCTGCCAGTCCGTTTTCCATTGGTATCTTGTCTTTCCATTGATCCATAAAATCTTGTCTTTCCATTGATCCGTAAAATGAAAGCAATAAACAATGTACAGTGGTACCTCGGGTTAAGAACTTAATTCGTTCTGGAGGTCCGTTCTTAACCTAAAACTGTTCTTAACCTGAGGTGTACCACTTTAGCTAATGGGGCCTCCTCTTGCTGCCGCCGCGCGATTTCTGTTCCCATCCTGAAGCAAAGTTCTTAACCCGAGGTAATGTTTCTAGGTTAGCGGAGTCTGTAACCTGAAGCATATGTAACCTGAGGTACCACTGTACTGCAGTCACACAATCCATCAGTGGCTGAACTGGGTTCCACACAGTCACACACAAAAAAACGAGCCACAAAACCGCGAAATAAATAGCGAAAACAGACACACCTCAGCGTAACGCTCAAAACGGAGCACGTTTGGCTTCCGAAAAATGTTCGCAAACCGGAACACTTAACTTCCAGGTTTCCATGTTGTTTGAGTACCAAGGCGTTTGAGAACCAAGGTACCACTGTACAGTCATACCTCAGGTTGTGAACGTGATCTGTATGGGATCGCAACCTGAAGCACCATGTCTGCGTACGCACGGGACGTGATCCGGCGCTTCTGCGCATGCGCACAATGTCATTTTGCGTGCATGCGCAAGCCCAAGTGCCGAAACCCGGAAGCGACCCATTCCAGTACTTCCGGGTTCGGCAGGGTCTGCAACCCGAAAACGCACAACCCGCAGTGTTTGTAACCCGAGGTATGACTGTATATCATTTCCCAGAAATCCTTTTATCATTTTGCGGTTCTCAAATATCCTTTATTAGGCATAGCAAACCACACATTATCAAACAGACACCGTATACAAATTGTGCAAAGTACAAGCTCAACATAACAAGGTTTGGCCCAGTCAGATCTTTAACTCCAGAGAAAATCAATTTGCATAAATAATACAATACAACTGCTAAATCTCTTTATAACGGCCCAGTCTTTCTACATGGACAGCACTCATAAATTCAGCCACTATTAATTTGATCATTCCTGTCCGAAAGCAGGCCCTGAACCGTTGATAGTGTTAGACATCAGCCTATTGAGTTGTAAGGCCTCTAATAATTGTCTTCTGGCGTAAATGCCAAAATCACAAGAAAACAAAATATGCTCCAAAGTATCAGGTTCCTGTTTACTACATTTGCAGAGACGCTCTGATTCCGGGAGAGCTAAGTATCTTCCTCTCACTATCTTCAGGAGACAGAAGAGCAACGTCCAGCCACTTTTGATTGATGGGGTCTGTGTGGAGAGGGTAACAACGTTCAGATTTTTGGGCATTGAATTACAAGAGGATCTGTCCTGGAGTGTCAACACAAGGGGGCTTGTGAAGAAGGTGCAGCAGGGACTGTACTTTTGAGAATACTAAGGAAAAACCATCTTCCGCAGAAACTGCTGCTTGCCTTCTATCACTGTGCCATTGAGAGCGTGCTCACTTATGGCTTATGTGTGTGGTACGGAAGCTGTACTACCCAGGACAGGATGGGGTTGTGCAGGGTTGTGAAGGCAGCAGAGAGCATTGTTGGCTGCCCACTCTCCACCTTAGAGCAGATTTATGCCACAAGGTGCCATAGGAAGGCACTGGACATAGTAAAAGATCCATCGCATCCTGGTCACTGTCTCTTCGAGCTCTTGCCGTCGGGACGGAGATACAGGACGATGAAGACGAAGAACAAGCCGTCTTAAGAACAGCGTCTTCTCCAGAGCGATCTCGGCCCTGAATGGGAAGCCCGGACTTTGAAAGTCATCTAATCTCCCTTGCTGTATTATACTGTATGGATTAATTAGAGTTTTTATGGAGCAGTCAAGTAATTTCGTTGTCCCCGAAGGGGGCAATGACAATAAAGATATTATTATTATTATTATTATTATTTTATTATTATTATTTGCAGAGACGCTCTGATTCCGGGAGGGATAAATATCTTCCTCTCACTATCATTTGAGGGAAACATATCAAATCTGGATAACATAAACATCCTGCACAATTCAAATCATTTTGCAATTCTACCACAATTCCCCAGGTGAAGGAGTTAGTTCTGGACAACTGCCGCTCCGACGATGGCAAAATTGGAGGACTCTCCTCTGACTTTGAAAACCTCGAATTCCTCAGTATGATCAACGTGAACCTCCTGTCCGTCGCCAACCTCCCAAAACTCAATAAACTGCGCAAGGTAAGCAGCAAGACGTTGGCGTAAAGCTAAAGGGATCCTTCCAGGAACTGCCATCTTCCCTATAAGACAGGGGTGCCCAAGCTTTTTTCAGAGAGGGCCAGGTTTGATGAAGTGAAGATGCGTGAGGGTCGAGCTGTTGTTGTTGAGGTTTTTTTAGGATTTGACCCCCAAGAAATAAACTGCGAAGCCTGAAGCTTTTCTGTTTTTCCCCTCCGTAGCTGGAGCTGAGCGACAATAGGATTTCCGGTGGCTTGGAAGTCCTTGCTGAGAAAACTCCAAACTTGACGCACTTGAATCTTAGCGGAAACAAAATCAAGGATATAAACACTTTGGAGCCGCTGGTGAGTTAAACGCTTCTCTCAAAGGGCTGGAGGAAACTATCTATATCTATCTATCTATCTGTCTATATATATTTGTGTGTTCCTCTTTTGGTGAAGTCTCCTCTCTCCTTTTCTTCCTAGGGGGTGCACCCCTTTTTTCATCCTCAAATTCTGAGGTGCTTTTATTCTCCCTCCTGCCAGAATTCAGCTGCTGCTGCTTTGCTTTGTAACCCAAAGTCAAGTACATAGTCCTCATGGTTTGCCAAGAACTGCACGGTTGTGGTTTGGTGGGAACGCGAGGCCTCAAAACCTTGAATTGGCAGGGGGGTTGGTCAGGGTCTTGGGGTTGTAGCCAACTGGGCCCTGTTTCTCGGAGTAGACTCATTGAAACCAATGGACATAATGTGCCAGAATTAGACGTATGAGTGGCCTTGCCTAGGCAAAAACAAGGTTTTAGAAAATCATTTATTATATTTTATTTTGACAAAGTAAAAATCATGAATAAAAATGCGCTCCCCACCACCGGGACCGTTCCATTGTTAACTACCCAACCTCCCCAAATTTCAACACCTCTTGCGATGGTTTGACCCCTTTCCATTTTAACAGTACAAATTCAACAAACACCTTCCATATCTCCTCAGAATCATTTCTTCTGCATATTCCCTGTCTTACCTTAATGGCACATGTTAAAAGCTTCTGCATTTTTAAAAATTATTTTAAACATTTTTTAATTAGTTTTACATACCGTTGCTAATCTGAAGGTGGTGGTTTGCAATATGTGGTTTATGCACACTTTAAATTTGTCCCAGTAACAAACCAGTGGCCGGTGAGCAAAGGGGGCAGCTCCTGGCTCTGATTTACGGGGGGGGTGGGGCATGCGATTATCGTTCGCCCGGTTCACCTCCAGAATCTCCACAGAAAAAGCTGTCTCACCTACGGAGTTTGGACCTCTTCAACTGTGAAGTGACGACGCTTATCAGCTACCGGGAGAGCATCTTCACCCTTCTCCCGCAACTCACTTACCTCGACGGCTTTGACACGAACGACAAAGAGGCGCCGGACTCTGACCCGGAAGTGGACGGGCTGGAGGATGAGTACGACGAGAACGGGGAAGGTGAGACGCGGCCGAACGCGGGGAAGGGCTTTTGAGTTTTGGGAAATCGAACATGCGCCATACGCTCCAATGCTTCGTGGATTTTTCCTTTCTTTTTGTCAACTTCCTGGCCCTGGTGCTTTGTTTATTTCTTCCCCATTTGCTGCGCCCTAACTGGACGCGGGTGGCGCTGTGGGTTAAACCACAGAGCCTAGGACTTGCCGATCAGAAGGTCGGCGGTTCGAATCCCTGCGACGGGGTGAGCTCCTGTTGCTCGGTCCCTGCTCCTGCCAACCTAGCAGTTCGAAAGCATGTCAAAGTGCAAGTAAATAAATAGGTACCGCTCCGGCGGGAAGGTAAACAGCGTTTCCGTGCGCTGCTCTGGTTTGCCAGAAGCAGCTTAGTCCTGCTGGCCACATGACCCGGAAGCTGTACACCGGCTCCCTCAGCCAATAAAGCGAGATGAGCGCCGCAACCCCAGAGTCAGTCACAACTGGACCTAATGGTCAGGGGTACCTTTACCTTTACCTTTAACTTCCGTCCCTTATACCAGGCATCCCCAAACTCCACCCCCAAATGTTTTGGGACTACAACTGCCTTCATCCCTAGCTAACAGGACCAGTGGTTGGGGATGATCGGAATTGTAGTCCCAAAACATCTGGAGGGCTGCCTTCAGATGTCTTCTTAAAGTCAGATAGTTGTTTATTTCCTTGACATCTGATGGGAGGGCGTTCCACAAGGCGGGCGCCACTACCTTAACAGTGAAACTTAAAATGCATTACATTTGAGAAACAGAAATCCTTTTTTTTTTTTTTTTTTTTTGTTATATCAAAAACAAACCCAAACCCACTTTGTAATGAAGTCTTTCCTTTTGCGGTGCTGTGTTTTTTCCAGAGCCCTGATCCTAACACATGGGCAGGAAACAATTGCCAAAAAAATAAAAAGGAGTCAGAAAAGGGCTTCTGTTCTTCCACGAAACCTTAGGTTCTCTTGTTTTTAGTAGTTATCTTTGCCATCTTCATCTCCCCCATTGCTTTTACTCCGTGGGAACAACTTCCTCCTCCTGTTTTTGTGCAAGGAGAATCCCAGCTGCTTTAATAAACTGCTTATAATCGTCTTTTTGGGAACTTCTGAATCGATTATCCCTGGGAGAAAAGCTTCACGCAAATCGGGGTGGTTGTTGTCATTTTTTACGTGCTGTGGCGGGAAAAATCCTTCCTCTCCCCCAAACCTCCTTTTCGGATCTTTCGTGGAATATATGTATTTTTTTCTTCCGCTTCTCCCCGTTTCCCAGAAGGCGAAGAGGAAGATGAAGAAGACGAAGAAGACCTCGACGAGGATGCAGTCGACGACGAGGAGGATGAAGAAGATCTGGATGGGGAAGAGGAGGAGGACGGGGTTGACGATGAAGTAAGTTTGCAAGGCGGCTTTCCTTCCCCCCTGCTTTTAACTTCGCGTTTCCCAGAGCGGTTAGAACAAAGGGTGCTATGTTCAGTAACAGCATCCCTCCCCCAGAAAGAGAGGGAAAAAAGAGATTTGTTTTGCAGGTAGCTGATCCTTCAGATGGGAAAACTGCCTTGCACAAAGCCAGGCCATTTAAATAATCACAATAATATTCTTTTCCTCTGTACAGGTATCTAGGCTAGCCTGCTTAACCCTGAGATCAAATGCATGCTCTTACTATATTCTAAAGGAGGACGCAAGATGCTGGTCCTCATTGTTGTGGTTAAAGAGCTGGTTTCAAATAGGGGCCCTCTAGCTCCAAAAGGGACGCGGGTGGCGCTGTGGGTTAAACCACAGAGCCTAGGACTTGCCGATCAGAAGGTCGGCGGTTCGAATCCCCGTGACGGGGTGAGCTCCCGCTGCTCGGTCCCTGCTCCTGCCCACCTAGCAGTTCGAAAGCACATCAAAGCGCAAGTAGATAAATAGGTACCACTCCGGCGGGAAGGTAAACTGCGTTTCCGTGCGCTGCTCTGGTTTGCCAGAAGCGGCTTAGTCCTGCTGGCCACATGACCCGGAAGCTGTACGCCGTCTCCCTCGGCCAATAAAGCGAGTGCCACAACCCCAGAGTCGGCCACGACTGGACCTAATGGTCAGGGGTCCCTTTACCTAGCTCAATTTTAGCCGCAGCAGCTTGCCAGCGCTTCAAAGACAGTGCTCTTCTCTGTCGCTGCGCTACAGCGGCTATCCCCAAAATCTAGGGTTGTGGGGAGGGGTTAGATACAGGCGACTCTCAGCTTGGCACTGGGGCTAAGTTTCGGGGACGTTGCGCAAAGCTGTAATCATAGGCTTTTAGAGTTGGAAGGGACTGTGCGGGTCCTCGCGTCTTGCACCCAATGTTGGGCTTCGAAACCCACGACCCTGAGATTAAAAGTCTCATGGGGTCTGGGGTGGGTGGGTGGAAACAGATTCCTGGGCACCCGCTTTGAATTTCGTTCTTTTTTTAAACTGCCATTGGTGGCGCCATTATTTCATGTCTTTAGGCACCAGGCGAAAAACATTCCTCTTTACCCATTAAATCAGGGGTGCCCAAACTTTTCTCAAAGAGGGCTGGATTAAATCGACCAGCGGGCTGGATTACGCCCCTAAAACAAGACTTTGGACATGCCTGCATGAAATAAACTGTGTCCTTTGAAAGTGTGGGGCAGAGGGCTGTTATTAACAATAATTCTTTTGCCTGGCTGTCAGTACGCTTGTTCATGTTTTTATTTTATCATTATTGAAGTTCCGTCATGTGCTTTTAATGTTGCACACTGCCCTGTGATCTTTTGATGGCGGGAGGTTTATCAATTGAATTAATAATAGCTGAGTTGAGGTAAAAGCTTCTGCTCTCTTGACTTCAGGAAGAAGAGGAAGGCGAGGATGACGACGAAGACGAAGGTGAGCCTTTTTAAATCGGCGCTCCGGTCTCTGAGGGGTGGCGAAGAGGTGGCAAGCCTTTTCCTCCCAAAGGATAGTTAATCCAAGGGCTATTGAGGTTATTTATGTATGCTACTACTGCGGCCCGTGTTTTCTTAGCCCAAAAATGGAAAACGAGCGAAGTCCCAGCTAAAGAGGAATGGAAACTGATGGAATATGCGCAGCTTGCGGACCTAACATAGAATAAGAGAACAAGAAGATCATAGGTTAAGAAAAGAAATCGTTTATGGAATATACAGGGGGGGCAGCGTTAAGATAAATTCAACAGTGTCAATAAGTTTTGATGGATGCAATGATGGAATACCGAATGGTATAATTTGTGTAAAATGGTAAAACAGAAAGTTTAATAAAAATATATATTTTTAACAAAGATAATCTGAGGGCTGGTTAGGCATGGGCTTTTAAATCCCAGGTCCTCAGTTTGAATAGTACTGTACTGTAGCTCTGAGCAAACCTCCCATCTCCCATTGCACTAGCCTACCTTACAAGGGGGACGCGGGTGGCACTGTGGGTTAAACCACTGAGCCTAGGACTTGCCGATCAGAAGGTTGGCGGTTCGAATCCCCGCGACGGAGTGAGCTCCCGTTGCTCGGTCCCTGCTCCTGCCAACCTAGCAGTTTGAAAGCACCTCAAAGTGCAAGCAGATAAATAGGTACCGCTCCGGCGGGAAGGTAAACGGTGTTTCCGTGCACTGCTCTGGTTCGCCAGAAGCGGCTTAGTCATGCTGGCCACATGACCCGGAAGCTGAACGCCGGCTCCCTCGGACAGTAAAGCGAGATGAGCATCGCAACCCCAGAGTCAGCCATGACTGGATCTAATGGTCAAGGGTCCCTTTACCTTTTTACCTTACAAGGTTGGCGTGCGGAGTGCACCCGTGAAAATGCACAGAGCGTCGCTTGGGTGGTTTTTAAGGCAGCTGTGTTGGATGCAAAAGTTAAATAGGCGATTAAAATTACCCTGGCCTCCTAAAAGGCTTGTCTAGAACATTTTCGGCAGTTCCTTGCTTGATTTTGATAGGCAGTGAGTTCCAGTGTTTAGCCCTAGCCTCCTTCTTACAAATACAGAACAAATAAATAATTTTGCCAGGAGTGGACATTTCTGTTTGTTTTTAAATATGTGTGTTTTTTTTCTCTCCCTCCCCCCCCAAAAAAAGATCTCCCTCAGGGCGAGAAGCGGAAACGAGAGATTGAGGACGAAGGGGAAGACGACCCCGATGAAGATGATGACGACGACGAAGACGACTGACCGGCTCCTCTTCCTCGTAGCCAGACGATCCGTTTTTTTACGGACTGTGACTTTCCTGGTCCCTGCTGTTCCGCAAGTGAGACTGTGACGACAAATTTCTTCTCTCCCCTTCCTCTCCCGCCCCTGTGGGCCCCACCCACCCACCCGCACTCTGACCCCGGCCCCCCACAGTTGCTTCCAGGCCCACCAACCCCTTTGTATCGCTGCGACATCCACAGTATATTTTTTTAAAATGTAGAATACAGTTGAGGTGTTTCAGGAGACGTTGGGTGGCTTTCTCTCCCCCCCCCCCGAAAATGCGCACAGTTTTTCTCCTCCCCCCCTCCCCAAATACCCCAGCCCCTTCAACTCCTCTCCTGTTTTGGGGTATTTTGTGACCAAAGGCTTTGCAAATCGGATGGTGCATCGGACAAGCTTGTTTTCGCCCTTCTTCCACACCACTTGCTCCCCCCCCCCCAAAAAAACCCACAAGTTCTCTGCTCTGCCACTAGGGGGCAGGGCTGGGTGGGGGAACCCCCCCCCCCGCAGGTGGCGGTTTTGGAATCGGGGTGTAGTGATGACGACGGCGACGAATTCTCCAGCTGTTAGGCAGATTCCCAGACCACTTGGGATGCTGTTCCATTTTTCCAACTGTATTATTTTTTTTCCAAGAAAAAAGCCTCTTTTCTAAGCTAGTTGATCTGCGGTCGTCGGCCCAACACTTTTTCTTTTGGGGGGGCTTTTTTCGGATGTGGTGTGTCCCTGTAAACCCCCCCCCCCAATTGTTCTCCGATATTCTTTCCCCAGTTGGGTTGACTTGAGTTACCTGAGACCTGCTGGGAGAATCCCTTATTATTTGCTCAGATTTCCAATTTAATTTGAGGGGGTTCCATCTCCCCGATGGAGGGCTGCCGTATTATTTCAGAGCTCGCCTCCTCCCCCCCCCAGTGGGGGCTTGAATCCCAACCCCCGCTCCTTAACTTGCTTTATCCTTAAGAAGGCAAGTGGTTTAGAAGAAAAGCAAGAGTCGCCGTCTTCCCGACTCCTTGTTTTGTTTTATTTTCTCCTTCCCTCCCCGGTTTTGGAAATTCCACCTGAGGCTTCTAACTTGTACAGGCTGCACAAAAACCATGACAATAATGGGAGGGAGAGGACAAGAATGAACGAAGAGCGAAGCGAAATTGTGCTGCCGAATCATATATAATGTTTCGTTTGGGGGCAATGGAGTTGGTGCGTACACAAACACAAAAGCCTTTCCTTATATTCTGTGTCCGCAGATGGCGATACTTCATTGTCAAGCCCAGTTGCAGTCCAGAAACTTTTTTTCTTTTCTTGTCTCTCTCCTTCGAGGGAATTGCGGCAGCATGCAACAAGTTGGGTGGGGGCCGGTCTCGGGGTCCCGCCTTCGGGGTTGGGGAGACGACGACGGCTGCACATCTGGGCGTGGCGTTGGGGCCTAGGCATGAGGTTGGCGATAAAAATCCTACAAGATTGGGGGAGAGAGAAATAGGTTCTTCCCTACTGAATCCCAGATCTTTGCTTGGTGGTGGGGGGAATAGCTGGATTGCTGGAGATTTTGGGGTTCAGCTTCTTGTCCCAGGGCAGGTAACACCACCTTCTTTTTGCCCCCCCCCCCAATAAATTAAAGAGTTGTGTTTCCATCTTCCCTGGGATAGTCTGCCTGCCCCCACTTCACAACAGAACATGGTTTTTCTGAGTTTTAAGATATTAGCCCTCGTTCCAAAGCAGGCCTTTCATTGTGGTCAAAAGCTAAACCCAGAAATGAAGATTCCCTTCTTTTTTTGTGCGTGCGGTTTTTTGTTTTGTTCTTTCTGGGGTTTTCCGGTCCTTTTTTTATATATCTCCTTTTTGTTAAGAGAAATTTGAATAAGACTTTTAATAAAAGACTTCAGTTTTTAAAAACCAACCTTTGCGATGTTATGAGATCTGCATCCGTTCTTTGGTGTCTTGTGTGTCCCGCGGGAAGTATTTCATTTCACAAAACAAAAATACTGCTTCCATTTGAAATGGAGGCTTGGCGGGCAACCAGGCAGGCGAGAGTTCGAAAGGAATACAGTGGTTCTCAAACTTGAATCCGTCCTGAGGTCCGTTCCAAAACCAAAGCGTTCTAAAACCAAGGTGCGCTTTCCCATAGAAAGTAATGCAGAACGGATTAATCCGTTCCAGACTTTTAAAAACAACCCCTAAAACAGCAATTGAACATGAATTTTCCTATCTAACGATACCATTGATCCCTAAAATGAAAGCAATAAACTGTAGTCACACAATCAATCAATCAGTAGCTGAACTGGGTTCTACACAGTCCGGAAAACAAAACAAAAAGAGCCACAAAAACGCAAAATAAATGGCAAAACCAGACAGACCTCAGTGAAACAATCAAAACAGAAGTATAACACTCAAAGCTAACAACTTGCTCATAAATACAAGGAAGACAAAGGAGCTTGTGGTGGACTTCAGGAGACGGAAGACAGAAGAGCAACGTCCAGCCACTTTTGATTGATGGGGTCTGTGTGGAGAGGGTAACAAGGTTCAGATTTTGGGCATTGAATTACAAGAGGATCTGTCCTGGAGTGTCAACACAAGGGGGCTTGTGAAGAAGGCGCAGCAGAGACTGTACTTTTTGAGAATACTAAGGAAAAACCATCTTCCGCAGAAACTGCTGCTTGCCTTCTATCACTGTGCCATTGAGAGCGTGCTCACTTATGGCTTATGTGTGTGGTACGGAAGCTGTACTACCCAGGACAGGATGGGGTTGTGCAGGGTTGTTAAGGCAGCAGAGAGCATTGTTGGCTGCCCACTCTCCACCTTAGAGCAGATTTATGCCACAAGGTGCCATAGGAAGGCACTGGACATAGTAAAAGATCCATCGCATCCTGGTCACTGTCTCTTCGAGCTCTTGCCGTCGGGACGGAGATACAGGACGATGAAGACAAGAACGAGCCGTCTTAAGAACAGCTTCTTCTCCAGAGCGATCTCGGCCCTGAATGGGAAGCCCGGACTTTGAAAGTCATCTAATCTCCCTTGCTGTATTATACTGTATTGATTAATTAGAGTTTTTATGGAGCAGTCAAGTAATTTCGTTGTCCCCGAAGGGGGCAATGACAATAAAGATATTATTATTATTATTAAAATGGAGCACGTTCGGCTTCCGAAAAATGTCCGCAAACCGGAACACTAACTTCCGGGTTTGCAGTGTTTGGGTTCCAAGGCATTTGAGAACCAAGTTACCACTGCAGTAAAATTGACTTCTGGTCAGCTGGAAATAATTTTCCACCCGAAAAGAATCACTAACCCTTGGGACCGGGCTTTCGCCAACTCGAGTCTGTTTTTGGACTACAGTTTCCATCATCCCTGACCACCGGTCATGCTAGCTAGGGATGATGGGGCCAGAGAATATTAAGAAGCAAAACAGCTAGTTGGCATGATCTTTATTAAACGGTTGCAGCAGGGTGCTCAACCCCCAGGCAACAGGGAGCAGAGGAACCCAGAACATTGGTGTGCAAGCTCTTATATAGACTTTTGAAACTGCTACCCTGTAGCTCAAGACCACCCCCCAAAACACCGTACACACATCACAGAAGGGGTAGTCTACAGCAGAATTCTGTCTGGCAGGAAACCTGTTAATGGGTTTACCTGGACAGCCTGGCCATTCTTTGGTGATGATAGTTACAGGTAGGTAGCCGTGTTGGTCTGCCGTAGTCGAAACAAAATTTTAAAAAATTCCTTCCAGTAGCACCTTGTTGTTGTTGTTGTTTAGTCGTTTAGTCGTGTCCGCCTCTTCGTGACCCCCTGGACCAGAGCACGCCAGGCACTCCTGTCTTCCACTGCCTCCCGCAGTTTGGTCAGACGCATGTTACTAGCTTCGAGAACGCTGTCCAACCATCTCATCCTCTGTCGTCCCCTTCTCCTTGCGCCCTCCATCTTTCCCAGCATCAGGGTCTTTTCCAGGGAGTCTTCTCTTCTCATGAGGTGGCCAAAGTCTTGGAGCCTCAGCTTCAGGATCTGTCCTTCCAGTGAGCACTCAGGGCTGATTTCCTTCAGAATGGAGAGGTTTGATCTTCTTGCAGTCCATGGGACTCTCAAGAGTCTCCTCCAGCACCAGAATTCAAAAAGTAGCACCTTAGAGACCAGCTAAGTTTGATATTGGTATGAGCTTTCGTGAAGAACTCTGCATGCACATGAAAGCTCATACCAATAACAAACTTAGTTGGTCTCTAAGGTGCTACTAAAAGGGATGCGGGTGGCGCTGTGGGTAAAACCTCAGTGCCTAGGACTTGCCGATCGTATGGTCGGCGGTTCGAATCCCCGCGGCGGGGTGAGCTCCCGTCGTTCGGTCCCAGCTCCTGCCCACCTAGCAGTTCGAAAGCACTCTTAAGTGCAAGTAGATAAATAGGTACCGCTTTATAGCGGGAAGGTAAACGGCGTTTCCGTGTGCTGCGCTGGTGCTGGCTCGCCAGAGCACCAGTGTCTCCGGACAGCGCTGGCCCCCGGCCTCTTAAGCGAGATGGGCGCACAACCCCAGAGTCGGACACGACTGGCCCGTACGGGCAGGGGTACCTTTACCTTTAAGGTGCTACTGGAAGGAATTTTTTAAAAACAAATTCTGATGATAAATACTTAATTCCTGAGTCCAGGTCACAGGCTCACCCAATCCATACACAAATGTGCCCTTAAGGCTGGATTTGTGAGCACAGAGACAATGGGGAGGCTTTTCCCATTCCCTTCCAAACTGCAGAGGAATATTTGAGGTCACTGAAAGAGTCAGAATGGCTTTAGGACTGTTTTCCTGCACTGTTTCAGACACGTGGCTAATATATTTATGTATGTGTTTGCCTGGTACATTTATGAGCATTTACCATATTTTTCACTCTTAAGACGCACCTAGTTTTTGGAGGAGGAAAACAAGAAAAAAAATATTCTGAATCTCAGAAGCCAGAACAGCAAGAGGGATCGCTGCGCAGTGAAAGCAGCGATCCCTCTTGCTGTTCTGGCTTCTGGCATAGCTGCGCAGCCTGCATTCGCTCCATAAGACGCACACACATTTTCCCTTGCTTTTTAGGAGGGGAAAAGGGAGTCTTATAGAGCAAAAAACACGGTATTTTATATCTTAGACCTTAAAATTCTCATAACAAAGGGATTCTAAGAGTCATCTCGTCCAGCCCTCTGCAACGCAGGAATCTCAGCTAGAGCATCCTTGCTTAGAAACCTCCAGCGGTGGGTGAAAATTAGACAATTGTTCTGTACATGATGCACTTTTTAAGTCAAGATTTTTAAACAATGGACTGATCCCAGAGAGGCCCTTGGAACTTGGGCTTCATGTATAGTTTCCTAGTAGATCTGCTCCTGGTTCTAACTGGGTTTTGCGTAATGTGTGATCACACTGACCCTTTAGCCACAGTTTGCATAACTCTCACCCACCCCTGAGACTTTTTGCCAAGCCGCTGAGAGGCTTAAGTCAAGAACGGGAGGAAACCCAAACTTAAAAGTTGTGGTTTAGTGTTTTCATTGCCTTATTTCACTTTTAAGAGCTAGCAAAAGGATCAAGAAAGGCTGGGGTTGTTTCCCTGTTAGGAAACACTTTCCTGTTAGCACAGTTTGGTCTCCAGCAGTGTTTATAGACTACAATGCCCATCATCCCTGGCCACTGGTCCTGCGAGCTGGGGATGATGGGAGTGGTAGTTCAGCTGGAGACCCAAATTTGGGAAACCCCAATTTAGGGAAAAGAGGAGTATGACCATTGCCATTCTGAGAGGAAGAGGGAGGTGTTCAAGGTGAGTTGATACAGGTGTCATAATTGCGTTACCCTATTGGCCTGAATATAAGCCGTACCTTTAAAATTCATTGGGGGGGGGGGAGAGAATAGCCAAATATAAGCCACTCTTAAAATTCTGCAGGCACTCACACCCCTTCCATTTTACCGTATAGCGGACGCTCAGGTACTTCCGGGTTTCGGCGCGTCCGTAACCTGAAAACGCGCAACCTGAAGTGTCTGTAACCCGAGGTACGACTGTATGTCTGTTTCAGCAGCGATATCGTAAAAGCCTGTTTTTGTAGGGTCGTGAATTTAAGCCGCGCTTGGGGCTGTGGGTTAAACCGCAGAGCCTAGGACTTGCCGATCAGAAGGTCGGCGGTTCGAATCCCTGCAATGACGGCATGAGCTCCCGTTGCTCGGTCCCTGCTCCTGCCAACCTAGCAGTTCGAAAGCACGTCAAAGTGCAAGTAGATAAATAGGTACCACTCCGGCGGGAAGGTAAACGGCGTTTCCATGCGCTGCTCTGGTTTCGCCAGAAGCGGCTTTGTCATGCTGTCCACGTGACCCAGAAGCTGTACGCCGGATCCCTCGGCCAATAAAGCGAGATGAGCGCCGCAACCCCAGAGTCGGCCATGACTGGACCTAATGGTCAGGGGTCCCTTTACCTTTACTAACTTTCTCCTTTTGGGAAAAGAAAGTGTGGCTTATATGCAGGCCAATACGGTATGTTGTGGAGAAAGTGAATGAAGCTTTTTATTTGAGGAGGGGCTTGTCCCACTGGCTCTTTTAAAAGCCGGAGAGTTGCTCTCTTGCAAGATTCTTTTTCGGCCGAGATGTAGGCACACCCTTGGTGCACAAGAGGGCACTGTTGAATTTTAACAAACCTCTTCCACCGATTGCAATGAAGGGCTGCAGTTGGGGGGGCAGAGTCTTTGCTTGGCATGCAGAAGGTTGTCTGTTCAATCCCCGGTGTCAGCCGCAAAGGTCCCCTGCCTGAAACTGCAGAGCTGCTGCCAGTCCGTGCATGCATAGCTAAGCTAGGTGGAGCAACGGTCTTTGCACGCAACACGTCTGGTTTTCTTTCTGCAAACTGCAATCTCCCTTAATCTCCAAGCCTAATGGCTGAACAGATGATGCCCTTCTCCGTATCTCAACAGCGGCACACACAGCTTACGAGGAAGAGGGAATTGAGATGAAGAATTGGTGCAGGGAGGTAAAGTAAAGGTACCCCTGACCCTTAGGTCCAGTTGCGGATGACTCTGGGGTTGCGTGCTCATCTCGCTTTATTGGCCGAGGGAGCCGGCGTACGGCTTCCGGGTCATGTGGCCAGCATGACGAAGCCGCTTCTGGCAAACCAGAGCAGCACACGGAAATGCCGTTTACCTTCCCGCTGGAGCAGTACCTATTTATCTACTTGCACTTTTTATGTGCTTTCAAACTGCCAGGTTGGCAAGAGCAGGGACCGAGAAGTATAAAGTATAGTCTCTCTCTCTCTCTCTCTCTCTCTCTCTCTCACACACACACACACACACACACACACACACACACAGAGAGAGAGAGAGAGAGAGAGAGCCTGCAGCCAAGGAGGCCAGCCCATCTATCATTTAGGGTGATTAATTTTTCATCTAGACGATGCCTTTTAAGTACCAAATTGCAGTATTTGCAAGAGTGCTGCTAATGATTAATTTAAACGGGGTTAGAATCGGTTTTTGTGGGCGAGGCCAGGGGGGTTGGGAAAAGCTTTTATCAGCCCATGCGCAACATATATTGATGAGTGGCAGAAGCTCTGTGTTCAGATCAAAGAGCAAGCGTCTCAAATATAAACCATCGGTCTGGATTATTCTGAATCCTGTCACCCTCTGGTTGTGACCGCACTGCAACTCCCAGCTTGCCTTGGGCTTTTGGGAACCTGAGACCAAAAAAAATGGGCTGATTCCTTGCCCTTTCTCTAGGGACACGCACATGCAAAACCCATAAAAATAAATTTTTTATTCCTTGCGACAGGATTTGGGGCAAAATTGATATCTATCGATGGTTTATTTTCTGGGGCTGTTTTGCTTCTGGCAGGATGAAATAGACCAGGCATAGGCAAACTTGGCCCTCCAGATGTTTTGAGACTACAGTTCCCATCATCCCTGACCACTGGTCCTGTTAGCTAGGGATGATGGGAGTTGTAGTCCCCAAACATCTGGAGCTCCGATCTTGCCAATGCCTGAAATAGACACTGAGTAAAAATTCCTCCAAACAAAACTATTCATGGCTTTCGTTCATTAAACTGTAGACTAAACGCAGTGCTCAGAGCGAATGAGTTCGGTTTGGCCAAGTCCCCTGAACTGGTTCAAAATCTGAACCATGCCTGAAAGTAGTTCTCGGAATTGCCAGGTGAACTGAATTTGAGTTAGGGTCAATTTCTAGTTGCTCATCAGGTTCATTCTATTCCATGTGTTGTGTCTTTTTAAATTTACGGAATCGCAGAATTGGAAGGGACCTCAGCGGTCATCTAGTCCAGCCCCCTGTGACACTGGAATCTCAGCTAGAGCATCCATGACAGATGGCCATCTAATCTCTGCTTAAAAACCTCTGAGGAAGGAGACTTTCTGAGGGAGTCTGTTCCACTGTCAAACAGCTCTTACCATCATATTTTTTTTCCTGATGTTTAGCTGGAATCGCCCTTCCTGTAATTTATTTGGTTTTAAGAACATTCGGTTGTAACTTGGTTTCCGAACAGCTTAGTTCTCAAACGTTTTGGCTCCCGAATGCCGCAAACCCGGAAGTGACTGTTCCGGTTTGCGAACTATTTTTGGAAGCCGAACGTCCGACGACGCTTCCACAGCTTCCGATTGGGTGCAGGAGCTTCCCGCGGCCAATCAGAAGCTGCGTTTTGGTTTCCGAACGTTTTGGAAGTCGAACGGACTTCTGGAACGGATTCCGTTCGACTTCCAAGGTACGACTGTAATCTTAGGGGGAAACACACTAGTTCCATTCCACTCTTTCTGTGTGTGTTTTGATGTTTTGAGCCAGCTTGGAATATTCGGAAAGCTATGTCTTCGTTCGTTCTCCCTCCCTCTCTCTCTCTCGCTCTCTCTCTCTCTCTCTCTCTCAGGGCCATTTAGGTGAACTTGAACCCGGACTGGTTCCTTTTAAAATCAACTTAAAACCCTTGCGGTTATTTCCAAGGAAAAAGGAAATAAAAAGCAGAAATTCCCTACGTGTCTATTCAGAAATAGGCACCATGGACTCCAGTGGGAGTTTTCCCCTGAAAGACTCGATTGCAGCACAACTTTTGGCTTGAAACTGAGGCCTGCAACAAATTGCTTCCGAGGAGCAAAATGGTAAATAATTCAGGGCCTGGGATAGGCAGGACGAGATGGGATCCGGTCCGCCAATTCGAGGCTCTCCGGGAGGCAGAGCGAGAGATAAAAGGCACAGCCGCCCTTGCAATATTCATAAACCCCGGAAAGCAAAAGCCGCTGCTGATGCGCCGATGGTTTTGCTCGTGGCTGCGGCTGACATGCAACAGCCATTGATCCTGGGGCAGCTCAGGACTGTCAGGGAGGGATTGGAGGCGGAGAGGGATAGTTTGTGATTTGGGGAGGGCAGCCTCTGCGCTGGATGCGCTGGACGAAAATGAGTTGCTCAGTGAGCAGCTGGGAACGGCCACAGCTTGGTAGGTTTGAACAGCTCGGGTTCAGCTCAGAGAACCGGGCCCAAGCTAGCAAAATGAATTTCAATAGGGGCCAATCTCGGGTTCTGCCCTTACGTTAAATAAGTTGGAGTTCTTGTTATTAAATATACAGTGGTACCTCGGGTTACATACGCTTCAGGTTACATACGCTACAGGTTACTAACCCAGAAATAGTGCTTCAGGTGAAGAACTTTGCTTCAGGATGAGAACAGAAATCATGCTCCGGCGGCGCAGCAGCAGCAGGAGGCCCCATTAGCTAAAGCGGTACTTCAGGTTCAGAACAGTTTCAGGTTAAGAACGGAGCTCCAGAACAAATTAAGTATGTAACCAGAGGTACCACTGTACCAAGAAAAAAGCACACTGAGAACTCAAGCCAATGTAAGTTTCAGTAGTGGGATTGGTAAGGGTAAAGGGACCCCTGACCATTAGCTCCAGTCGTGGCCGACTCTGGGGTTGCGGCGCTCATCTTGCTTTACTGGCCGAGGGAGCCGGCGTACAGCTTCCGGGTCATGTGGCCAGCAGGACTAAGCCGCTTCTGGCAAACCAGAGCAGCGCATGGAAATGCCGTTTACCTTCCCGCCAGAGTGGTACCTATTCATCTACTTGCACTTTGACGTGCTTTCGAACTGCTAGGTTGGCAGGAGCAGGGACCGAGCAACGGGAGCTCACCCCGTCGCAGGGATTCGAACCGCCGACCTTCTGATCAGCAAGTCCTAGGCTCTGTGGTTTAACCCACAGCGCCACCCGCGTCCCATTGGGATTGGTCCCTACTTGCAAATCAATAGTCAATTGTAACAAAAACTAATCGATTCAAAAGTATGTATTCTGACAAGGATTTCAAACTCAAATAGAGATTTCAAACTCTAACAGAGATTACAAACTCAGACTCATAAGGATATGTATAACACAATAATTCGTTCCAGAATTAGAAATAAGAGTTTATGAGTAGAGATGAGATCATGTTAGTCCATAGTCAGATTTGACGTGAAGGTCTTAGTTTTAATCATTGAGTAGAAGTCAGTTATGGATCAGAAACTAGGACAGGGTCCTGTTTCGATGTATTCACCTTCATCAGCTGGAAGCATCAAATATTACATGAAAATGCATTTAAATTCTACATTATCATAAATTATAAGACAGTCATAAATTATAAAACAGTATTATATAACATTTGGTTCCTTACCTAATTTTTTAAGGGTCGTGTAAGTTTTCAGATAAATATATCCTGTTATTTTCTACGTTTCTCAGAGATAAGAACTGAAAATAATCAATATTAATAATTACTTGTGTTGAATCAAATTAAAAACTCCAAGACAGCATATAATCATATGATTCCTCACCTATGTGAGGAAGGAAGAACCAGAACCAGACTCCGCTAACCCAGAAATAGTGCTTCAGGTTAAGAACTTTGCTTCAGGATAAGAACAGAAATCGTGTTCCAGCGGCACGGCAGCGGCAGGAGGCCCCATTAGCTAAAGTGGTGCTTCAGGTTAAGAACAGTTTCAGTTTAAGAGCGGACCTCCAGAACGAATTAAGTACTTAACCCGAGGTACCACTGTATATTATATTCAGGTCTGAGAAGCAGGGGGGGCGGGGAACGTTGTCTGAACAGCAGCTCTCAACATCAGGGTGAAAGTTCCATCTTTCCATCTTTCCCAGGACGGCAGTAAACATTCATGAGGCGTAAACAAGGCGATTTATCAGCGCCTGGGGCCTTGGGAGCGGCTATATTTAAGCACCAAAACACTCTTGTTTTCCAGATGAATGGGGAGGCGTGAGCAATGGGGCAAAAGTTGGCAAGCCTGCACAGAGGGGGGAGGGATAAATTTGGGTACCGGGAAGCAACACAGCATCATTTTCTGGCCTGGGAGACTGGCACAAAGGGCACCTGGAGTGACGGCAGGAGATTAACTTTTTCATATCTGGCTTTTCCTGCGAAATATGAAGTGTAATATAGAATTGTAGGGCTGGAAGGGGGTCCCCAGAGGTCCTCTAGCCCAACCCCCTGCTGTGATAAGAATTTTAACGTCTTAGATATATAATAAATGTTCATAAACGTACCAAGCAAGCACGTACATAGATCAGCACAGGAAGACCGACCTGGAACCATTTTTTGATTCCCAAACTGACCAAATGTTTTCTCTGCAAGGTCAAAGGAAAATGGAAAAGCCTCACCATTGTCCTTTCCTTCACTAATCCTGTCTTGAGGGTATGTCTGTCTGTGTTTGAATAGGGTGAGCCTGTGACCTGGCTCAGGAACTAAGTGTTTATCATTACAAAAGACTGGCCAGGCTCCCCAGGGTATCCAATCAAGTGAGCATTAACAGGTAACCTGTCAGATGAGATAAACAACACACTCGGATTTCTGTTGTAGACCGCCTTCTCTGTGATGTAGGTATGATGTATGGAGGGGTGGTCTTGAGCTCCAGGGCAGGGAATTTAAAATGTCTATATAAGGGCAGGCACACCTGGGTTCTGGGTTCCTCCTCTCTCCTGTGTGTGAGGGGAGCACCCCGTTGCAACAGATCAATATAGATCAGGCTTACTAGCTGCTTTGCTTCTCAATATTCTCTGATTGGCCTCTGTTATTTTCTCCTACCGATAGGGAACCCACGTAAGGATGCTATATGGGCTCTTGGATACCCCATAAGGGAAAAAGGGCAGATTTTTGTTTACAACACTGCAATACAGGAATCTCAGCTAAAGCATCCAGGACAGATGGCCCTTTGGACTCGATGGCCCTTGTGGTCTCTTCCAACTCTATGATTCTATGAGATGGCCATCCAACCTCTAAGGAAGTTCATATAACAGTTCCATATCATGTTCCTTAAGCAGATAAATAAAATTCATTGAAAACTATTTAACAAATAATAATGCAACCGTATAATCACAAACGGAAGCCTGTTAGTCAATGAATTCTCCCCGCGCACGGAAGGGTTTTTGCAGGTGAAATGCAAAGTCCCCATTGCCCCTCCCGCCGCTGCCCTGGCCGCCACGTTGCCCTCCGAAAATCTGCTCTGGAGGGTGGGGGGAACCCCCCCCAGAAGATTTAGAGGGTGGGGAGGGGAGGGGAGAGGGTAGGGAAGTTCTATTGGGCAGCCAGTAGTCTTTGCCCTTTGTGAAACGACTTTGACTGGCTCCCACCCAAACTGAGCATTCTTCAAAACAGCAAAGAGAGGCAGAGTCCAGGAGAAACTGGTGCAAACGTGTACATTTTTAAGAGGCGTTTAAAGGTCATTCTGGCCTCTGCTTCACGAGTTAATCTGATCCAGGGCATTCGGGGGGAAGGGGTCGCCGTCTCGGGGAAAGGCCTGCTTCTGAGTTGTCGCCAACCCACGAGCAGGGTCTCCTCAGAAGCAGCCCCTCTGACTATCCCAATTTTCTAGTCCCAGATTTACAGAAGCCGTCCCGGTTTCTGATTTTACCTTGGAACATAGCTGTCAACCGTCCCTTATATGGCGGGAAAGTCCCTTATCCCAGCGCTGTGTTCCGCTGCTGTCCCTTATTGATGATGTCTCTTAAATCTCCCGGGTTTCAAAGGAAGCAGCTCCTCTCCCTCCCTCCCTGCCGGCCAGGGAGGAGGGAGGCTCCAACTGTGTTGCTTGGCTGCGTTGCTCACCCAGTAAGGAGTCTAAGAACGACTGGGGGGTGGAGCTTGCATGCCTTGTGCCAATCAAATCGGCCCCGTCGCCTGGGGACTCGCCTTTGCTCAGCGCTTCCCAGCGGAGAGGTGACAGTGGTTTTCCTTGCTGCATCCCCTTTGCCGGGTTGCTGCGCTGTGGGAACCACCGCTTGAGGCTTCGTTTGGCTGCTGGCTGGGCTTTCTGCCTTTGGCTCGGAGGGGCTCAGAAGTTGGACATGCCTGTGCCCGGAAAATCCCTTATTTTGGCTGCTGATCCCTTATTTTCGAGGCTGCTGGTCCCTTATTTTCAAATCTGTAACTTGACAGCTATGCCTTGGAATGTCCCGCTTTTCCTTAGGACGTCCCCCTGTCAAGCAAACTTTCCAGGGTCTCAGACTCAGGGGGTACTACATGGAGATGCTTCCCGGAACAAAACCACCGGCATGCAGAACAGTTGCCCTTTCTTGTCGTGCTGGTCTTACCTGCCTCAGGTGTGCTCTTGAAATGGTGGCGATCTTTCCCTTGCTTGGACAAAGCACAGGGATTGGTTTCTGTGTGGCCGCTGGCATGCAGCCTCCAAAAACCTGCCCGCAAGGAAAGATGGCCCCTAAGCTATACAGTGGTACCTCAGGTTACATACGCTTCAGGTTACAGACTCCGCTAACCCAGAAATACTACCTCGGGTTAAGAACTTTGCTTCAGGATGAGAACAGAAATCGTGCTCCGGCGGCACGGCAGCAGCAAGAGGCCCCATTAGCCAAAGTGGTGCTTCGGGTTAAGAACAGTTCCAAGTTAAGTACGGACCTCCAGAATGAATTAAGTTTTTAACCTGAGGTACCACTGTAAACTGGTCCCCACCCCTGCTGTTAGCCCCCAACCCCAGAACCTGCCTGGATGTAGGAATGTTTTCCATGGAAGAAAGGTGATGATAACTGTGATGATGATCAATGTTTATTATTTATACCCTGCCCATCTGGCTGGGTTTCCCCAGCCTCTCTGGGCGGCTCCCAACAGAATTTTAAAAACACACAAACAAAATCAAACATTAACATTAATAAACTTCCTAAACAGGGCTGCCTTCAGATGTCTTCTAAAAGTCAAACAGTTGTTTATTTCCTGATGGGAGGGCGTTCCTCACTTCCCGCAGTGAGGGAACTGCCAGAAGACCCTTGGACCTGGACCTCAGTGTCTGGGCTCTCTACAGGGCTGCCTTCAGATGTCTTCTAAAGGTTGATGGGAGGGTGTTCCACAGGGCAGGCGCCACTACCAAGAAGGCCCTCTGCCTGGTTCCCTGTAACCTGATTTCTCGCAGGGAGGGAACCGCTAGAAGACCCTCGGAGCTGGACCTCCGTGTCCGGGCTGGACGATGGGGGTGGAGACGCTCCTTCACGTATACAGAGCTGCGGCTGTTTAGGGTTTTAAAGGTCATCACCAACCCTTTGAATTGTGCTCGAAAATGTACTGAGAGCCAATGCAGGTCTTTCAGGACCAGTGTTATGTTGTCTCGGTGGCCACTCTCAGTCCCCAGTCTAGCTGCTGCATTCTGGATTAGTTGTTGTTTCTGGGTCACCTTCAAAGGGAGCCCCACGTACAGCACATGGCAGTAGTCCAAGCGGGAGATAACTAGAGCATGCACCACTCTGGAAAGACAGTGCGCAGGCAGGGAGGGTCTCATCCTACGTACCAGATGGAGCTGGTAGACAGCTGCCCTGGACACAGAACTGACCTGCGCCTCCATGGACAGCTGTGTGTCCAAAATGTCTCCCAGGCTGCACACCTGGCCCTTCAGGGGCATAGTCACCCCATTATCACCCACTTTTTCAGTAGGGGGTTTGCAAGCAGTGTCCTGCCCTCTGCTTTTGCCTTCCTTAACTATCCCACACCAGAACCCCCAACTGCTTATGGGTTCCGCCCCAGTCACCGCCCAGCACCCTCTGCAAAACCTCAACTGATCTGAGAAAGATCTCAAGGAGGGACCCACAAACTAAGGACCCACAGCTCCAAGGAGTTGGGGGACGGACGGCTTTTTAGCAGGGGAGCAGGTGAAGGCTTTCGGCAGACCTCAGCCCGGACAGCTTTGTCTTGTCAGCTGTCGCTGGAGATCAAGGGGTGGTCTTCAGGCCTGCTCTCATTCTGCTACTTTAATTAATCGGAAAGTTAAAAGTCATTTGGGCTGACGTTGTCTCACCCAGCTGGCAAGAAACGACAGCTCCAATGATCGTTAGCACAAATTTAAGGCATTGATTAAGGGGCTAAATGAGGCCCTGCAGACAGCTGCTCTTCATAACTGCCTCTTGCATGCGTCAAAAATTTAAGACAAACCATAGCTAAGCCCATGTCAATGCGTAGGCACTCCCAGTTGAAAAAAACATGTCTTCTGCATTTCCCTGCAATCCCACTGTCCCCACTGTGGAAGGACTTGTGGATCCAGAACTGGCCTCCACAGTCACTTAAGGACTCTGTGTTTATGGAAGACAACCGTACTCGGCTGCGAGGGATCGCAGAAGAAGAAGAAGAAGAAGAAGAAGAAGAAGAAGAAGAAGAAGAAGAAGAAGAAGAAGAAGAAGTTGACATGCAATGTGGAGCTGAGAAATGGTTTGGCTTTGGGTTCTATCCCCCAGACAAACCATGAAGAAGGAGGAGGAGGAGGAGGAGTTTGGGCTTGATATCCCGCCTTTCACTCCCCTTAAGGAGTCTCAAAGCGGCTCACAATCTCCTTTCAGCGGCTAACAATTCTAAGGTCTCAGATATAGAATAAATGTTCAGCAATGTGCAAGGCAAAGACATACGTAAGTATATAAACCACGTGTCTGACATAGTACAGGAGAGCAATCCTGAAGCCATTTTGACTCTCCCAAATTGACCTCAAATATTTCTCTGCAAGGAGGGAGGAAATGGGAAAAGCTTTTTGCAGTTGTCTTTTGACTGGGGCTTACAGCTCCCTTTGCAAATACAGTGGTACCTCAGGTTAAGAACTTAATTCGTTCCGGAGGTCCATTCTTAACCTGAAACTGTTCTTAACCTGAGACAGCACTTGAGCTAATGGCGCCTCCCACTGCCACCACCGTGCGATTTCTGTTCTCATCCTGAAGCAAAGTTCTTAACCCGAGGTACTATTTCTGGGTTAGCGGAGTCTGTAACCTGAAGCATCTGTAACCTAAAGTGTCTGTAACCCGAGGTACCACTGTACAGCCTGGCAAGTATCAGTTAAGCTGAGCACACTATCTATGCATAAGAGATTCAGGAAATAAGCATTTACCCAGTACTTTTTTCTAGGGGGGCACAGGACTTGGCGTTTTCTGAATGTGAATTTTAACAACTTGGAAGTCAAGTTTTCAGACCTGGAAATGATTTACCCTACAAGTTTATTCAATTTCTATCCCATCTTTCCCCCAGAGGGAAGCAGGCATAGAACTTGTCTCCCTCCCTCCCTCCTAAACATACACTTAATCTTCTCAATCTTCTTGAGAGCCAGTGTGGTGTAGTGGTTAAGAGCAATAGATTCGTAATCTGGTGAACCGGGTTCGCTTCCCGCTCCTCCACATGCAGCTGCTGGGTGACCTTGGGCCAGTCACACTTCTCTGAAGTCTCTCAGCCCCACTCACCTCACAGAGTGTTTGTTGTGGGGGAGGAAGGGAAAGGAGAATGTTAGCTGCTTTGAGACTCCTTCGGGTAGTGATAAAGCGGGATAGAATAGAATCATAGAATCATAGAGTTGGAAGAGACCACAAGGGCCATCGAGTCCAACCCCCTGCCAAGCAGGAAACACCATCAGAGCACTCTTGACATATGGTTGTCAAGCCTCTGCTTAAAGACCTCCAAAGAAGGAGACTCCACCACACTCCTTGGCAGCAAATTCCACTGTCAAACAGCTCTTACTGTCAGGAAGTTCTTCCTAATGTTTAGGTGGAATCTTCTTTCTTGTAGTTTGGATCCATTGCTCCGTGTCCGCTTCTCTGGAGCAGCAGAAAACAACCTTTCTCCCTCCTCTATGTGACATCCTTTTATATATTTGAACATGGCTATCATATCACCCCTTAACCTCCTCTTCTCCAGGCTAAACGTGCCCAGCTCCCTTAGCCGTTCCTCATAAGGCATCGTTTCCAGGCCTTTGACCTTTTGGTTGCCCTCCTCTGGACACGTTCCAGTTTGTCAGTGTCCTTCTTGAACTGTGGTGCCCAGAACTGGACACAGTACTCCAGGTGAGGTCTGACAAGAGCAGAATACAGTGGCACTATTACTTCCCTTGATCTAGATGCTATACTCCTATTGATGCAGCCCAGAATTGCATTGGCTTTTTTAGCTGCCGCGTCACACTGTTGGCTCATGTCAAGTTTGTGGTCAACCAAGATTACTAGATCCTTTTCACATGTACTGCTCTCAAGCCAGGTGTCACCCATCTTGTATTTGTGCCTCTCAATACTTTACATTTCTCCCTGTTAAAATTCATCTTGTTTGTTTTGGCCCAGTTCTCTAATCTGTCAAGGTCGTTTTGAAGTGTGATCCTGTCCTCTGGGGTGTTAGCCACCCCTCCCAGTTTGGTGTCATCTGCAAATTTGATCAGGATGCCCTTGAGTCCATCATCCAAGTCGTTGATAAAGATGTTGAATAAGACCGGGCCCAAGACAGAACCCTGTGGCACCCCACTAGTCACTCTTCTCCAGGATGAAGAGGAACCATTGATGAGCACCCTTTGGGTTCGGTCAGTCAGCCAGTTACAAATCCACTGACCGAATCCACTGCTGCAATATAGTAGCTTTCCTTGTGACATTGCTTTCCACGGGCTTTGCAGCTTGACGGCATAATTTAGAATGTGTGTGGTTTGCTTGCGCGACGATCCCACCAGTTCATCAAGAGCGAATTTCATTTGACAGATGAATGCCCAGTGACCTACTTTCAGTCCGTCTTGCGAGTAACTCTTTGCAGCCCACGGCAGATGTTGTTTAGTTTCATTCACCCTG